GCTCTCTGAAATGGATCCATGGTTAGAACGATAACGTGCTGTTTAGTTTGTCAGCCGAGTCGTGCAGGAGCAAGAGGCCACACTGAGGGTCTTATATCGTCGGGCCTCATTCATCATCAAAACAGAATGAGAGAAAAAGAAAAAACACAAAACATTCAGACCTCTAATTTGTTCTTATTCAGGTGCAGGTCTTTGTGAATCAGGTTTGTTCTTAAATTGGATGCATGTTTCAGGAATCTTGTCAAATAATTCCACTCCAGGGTCACAGCTGGGCTGAGGGACAGGTCTTGCTGTGGGCTGAAGAAACTCAAGCTCAGTCTTGTGGGGAGTCTAATAAACCATCAAATTCATGGATCTGCTGCTAAAACTGAATCAGAGACAAATTAACATGTTGACCTGCAGGTGTCAGGGGATCACCACAGTTAGTAGGATTTATCCTCTAGAGAACAAGAATGTCTGAACAAGAGGTACCGTTATGGTGTGGACAGAGTGGACCCAAACGCAACGCTCAGGATGAACAGGTTTTATTAAGGAAAAGAGGGGTTGAGGGAGTGGAGGTGAGGGAGAGGCGGATGCCGGGGAGACACGGGCACGGGGAACCAAGGAGACTGAGACAAGAGAGCCGGGGGGCACTGGGGACTGAAGAAAAGAGGAGGCGCAGGAGAACTGACCGGGGGGGTTGGTGGAGGGGTGGAGCCAGGTGGACGCCGTGGGATAGGTCCGAGGGGAGAGGGCAGGGGGGCGAGCCCAGCTGACACAACGGAGGTGAGTGAATCTGGAGGGAAGACAGACAGGGTTAGACACAGGGAAAACCAAGAGCTGGGAAACAAAGATGACGCAGGTTACGTAAGCGCTTGAGTGAAGAAGTGGCACCAGGTTTGGAGCAACGACGATCAAGCAGCGATTGTGTGGAGAACTGGGGTTGAAATACTGGCAGGGATGGAGTTGATTGCTGGCAGGTGTGGCAGGCGGAGGAGGTGGCTGACGAGGTGCGGGTGCGGACTGTCAGCTGGGCTCAGGAGCAGAGAGAGAGAAGGAGAACACAAGCAAGGGGAGCAGAGGCGACAGACAGGCAGGCCAAAACACAATCACAAGAAAAAGAAATAAACAGGACACTCACCGTCAGCCGGGCTGCCACCACAACAAGCACAAAAAATAGGCTAAAGAGGCAGGAAGCATCTTTGAGATCTTTAACTGATGTAAAAACAGACTTGTACTTTACATGAAGTATACAAGTTAATGCAATGGACAGAAAATGAATAGGAATATATGTATTAATGCATCAGGTGGAGCTGTATGCTGGGAACAGTAATTACTGCCAAAGAAAGACATAGTTTTAATTTATGTGAGATCTAAAGTATTAGTTCTAGTACTATTAACACCTGTTTGTGATGAAACAATGCTGTTAAAGCTGCATGTGTTTTTACTGGCCTGGCATCATCTCTGCACTTTCAGCTCTGTGAGAACACTAATCCACCCAGACCACCAGAGTAATCTGACACCCCCACCTCTTCCACCCACCACTGTTACACCAGGGCCCTTTATAAAATGTAGTACGTTTAAAATGTATTCATATTCTCTGAAACATTTGCCATCTATTTCAACACACTGTCACCCTGATGATGACATGTTTACAGTAATTTTCTACCAAATTTTCCATTTTTAACATGAAACATGTCATTTTCCTGTAAAATCAACATGTCGCACTAAAACAAGAAACATTTCTCATAACGATGAAATAAATACTGAAAAGTAAATGTAGTGGCAGCAGACAGGAAAACCAGCTGGTCTCCGCACACTTTTTTTTTAGGATCCTCCCTCTTGCTGTTTCAGTATTTAACTCTGCAGCTACACAACAAAGAGCATAAAAAAGACTCCCGCCCCCCCGCCTCCCCCATCAGTCCTGGCAGATGTAAATCCTTCACTACACAACTGCTGACACTAACAGCCCCCCAAGCTCATTGGCTGGCTCTTCTGTCTCCTCCCCAGGAGAGACATCTGGACGAGCTGTCACATCGTCCCACCCACTCAGCCTCCCTGTAAACCACTCAGGAGCAGTCAGCCCTGACATAGGCAGGGAACCAGCACAGGCCAGCCATCATAACACATTCATTTATAGCAACTACATTAACAGTTAGCTGTCTGTCCCAGCACATCCTGCAGATAGACAGATCCAGACTGACAGACTGAAGTCCTGTCTGGCTGTGCTTTGACTTGTACACAAACATCCTGCACATCTCTGTTACTCCTACGACCGAAAAACTTGCATCTGGCAGAAACCTGGCCCCTCTGTGCTGCTTCACATGTTACATCTAGAAACATTAAATGTTTGTGTTGGACGGGTAGCTCTTCAGGACTCGTGTAGGCGCCTCCTCTACCTGTAGCGGGGACGGTCAGGGCCATGGGCTGCAGAGACCACAGCCAGACAAACATGATAAGTAGGTCAAGTTTCAGACTGATGCTCTCTGAGGCTCATGTGCCTCTGCAACAGAGCACTGTGAGCACACCACGGTGTCTTCACTGCGCACGATGAAGAATGAAGTACCACGTCATCGCTGCTCTTCAGGAAATGTCATTTACAGTCATGGATCTCAGAGGGAGCCTCCTGAAGACAGCAGCCCCACCCCCTTCCTGCTTCCTCCTGGATTCGTTCAGGGTCCAGCATGTGTTAGAGGGTAACTTGGATTTGGATGTATTTAGAAAAGAACTGATCAAGCATGCTGCAGTGAAACAGGGCTGAAGTAATCCTTGTTTGACAACATCATGGAAAGGATCCCTACAGAGAGTTATGGAACAGTCGCTTCACGTCTGGTTTCTACCACTGAAGAGATCAGAGAGGTAAAATTACTGTTTTCGTCAATGGAGTCTGGTGGCTTTGACAAGAGCCTTACAAAGACTCTGTAATTAAACTACAAAAAAGAGCTGTTAGAATAATAAATAAAGCGGGTTTCTGTGAATCTACTAACCAATTATTTATAGACTTACGCACATTGAAGTTTGTAGACATTGTGTATTCAAAATATTGGAAATACTTTTTTGAGTTTTGTATTCAAAAACTTTTTAAATTACGAAAAGGAAAGCATAACTTAAGAGGATTGTGTATATGTAAAGTGAGAACTAGTTTTGGGAGTTAAATTATGGAATGGACTTAGTGATGAGCTGAAACAGTGTAGCTCTCTGTGGAGTTTAAAGAAAGCCTTAAAATGCTAAATAATGAAAAATTACAGTTTAGATTGCACTTTATTTAATTTTCTTCTTTTGTTTCTTTCATATTGCTGGTATTTTGCATTCTAGTGTAGAGGGTGGGAAAATATAAGCCTTGGGCTACACACAAATCTTTCTTTTTACATTATAATTTAAACAGAAATAAACCACTCATTCATTCATTCATTTATTCATACTGTTTCTGGTTAAACAAAAAAGATCTTACTCTGCATGGATCCTTTCCATAATGCTGTCTGACACCTGTAATAACAATCTGAGCCTGTCAGTGACAAAAACAAGCACTTTAGTGGACTTACTTTTTATTATTATTATTATTATATATTACACACTGGATCAAATTACAGTAAGTCTCAGCCGTAAACTTGTTGGTAGCTCTCTCAGAGATGCTGTCCTAGACTCTCTCTGGTCACTTGGGTTATGTTGTTGTGTGGCTGAAAGACTCGCCCCCACTTCATTGACAGGTTTAGGTCTGTTAGCTCTTGTAACTCGTACTCCTGCCTTTAATGTAAATCCTGTCCATCTGTAAAATATTGAAAGGCCATGCCATGTTGCACTAGATAATCTGGTCCCTCCTTAAATCCAGTAGTTATAGACATGTCCCTGTACCTCTTAAAAGTCCTCCAAAAGGTTCAAGTTAGCATATTTTGATGTCTTCACATTGACCTCCTGAATTCAGAAATCATGATAGTTGTGCTGAAGTTTGGAGCTTTGCAGGATCGTAGAGCTGCTGCAGCCCTGATTCTCCTGCAGGAAGCTGGCCTCCTCTGATTGGGGGTGATGGTTGTTCCTCACCAAAGGAACTCCTAAACTTTGGACTTGAGATCTGTGGACACTTTTAAAAGCAGCTCAAGACCCGCTGCTGTAGTTTGAGTGTCTTATTTAATCTTTATTCTTGGTATGTTAAAGCATGATGTTTGCATGTCATGGCTGTTACTCTCTCTCCTGTCTTTTTGTTGTGAAGCACTTGGTTGATGTCTGCTCTTGAAAGGTGCAGTTTTTCATCAGTGATTCACATCTTATCATATGTGTCTCTTAACCTATCGCATCTGCATATGCATAGACAGATAGATAGATCAAGAGGTTAAGAGGACATGATCCCTCCCTTAGACCTTTAATATACAAAACATCTGCAGTCAGTTTCATTAAAAACCAACATGGCTCGGACTGAACTAGTGAATGAGAACAGTATTTCAGTTTTACAACAGCAATAGAGAGACTGTGTTGATATGTTCATGCTAAATGGCAGCCATTATAACACAACTCTCCTTTTTCATTGCTCGCACATCTATCTTTCTTTCTGAGCGTGAGACATTCAGATGGACCTCATGATCAGTGTACACAGACCTGGATTAAGGTTGTGGTTAGCCTAGCTTAGCATAAAGACTGGAAGCAGGGGGGAACAACTAGCCTGGGTCTGTTCAGAGGTCAAAGTTCACTGATTAACATGTTGTACAGTCCTCAGCAGAGAAACGGCCGTACAGGTCAATGATGCAGCAGCTAAAGTCAGGACTTTCACTCAGGAGACTGAAGTTTGAGTCTGGTGTGAAAGAAAGTCAAGGGTGACATGTTTTAAGTTAAATAACATTTTGTAGACTTTGTTCACGTGATTTATGTAACATACTCAAGGTCCGATATAAGGCTGGGATAGTTGACGATAAGTGAGGACATATGATTTGTATGTGTGTTTCTGTCCTCAGAGTTGGCAGGGACTCAATATTTTACTCACAGATGACAGACAACAACATTCACAAAGCAAAATCTCTTTATTCCATCGTTCCTGTTGCTCTATCACCCACACACACTGAAACGTCCTCAGAGTGCCGGTTCATCCTCGGTAATCACAACACATTAAGCCCTTTTAAATTGGAGATTACAAATCCAGTTGGCACCCAAGTAACTGCACCGAGACTCATAGTGTGTACCACTGCTCTTCAATCATTGCCTTTCTGATGAGGTTCATGTCCCCATATTCTTCAACAGGGAAGACAGTGTCAGTTAGCAGCGAGAAAGACCGGCATGATGATGAGCCGGGGCGGAGAAACAACATCTGCAGAGAACTGACCGATTACCATCTACAGTTCGTCAACACATGTACGTATTCTGACAGAAACATGGATGACAGCAGAGATCAGAACAAAAGGTTCATGAAGACAACATGCAAAATACTGACAGCCTTGGAGATGTGTCCAAATACTGTTCCAGCGGCAAATAATCGAGCATCAGAGATGTAACACTGCACAGAATATGATGCTTGTTGCAAAATATACTGTGGAAAAATGTGGATGTGCCGACCCTCAGGCCTCAAATCTCTATAAATAAAGCCATTAGGAGAAACATCGTAGCTACTGAGACCATGTTGGAAACACCTTTCTGAAAATCAGCTACTGCTTATGAACTCAACACAATTTAAAAAACACCTAAATAACTGTCTCCATTTTCTCTATCAATTGTACAAGATGATATCATCCTTCCTGGGACGTTATGAAGAAACGATAAACATGTAAAACAAACATTTACATGCAATTTCAAAGCGTTCTCCTCAATTCTGTTGGAGAAAAACTGAAATACTGGAGTCAGCCTGAAAGATACTCATCATGTTTTTAACTGTATGTTGCTGAAACCCCAACTTCCCTGTCTTGTCCTCAGAGTCAGCTATGGTCCTGACTGAGAGGACTCACTCTGGCAGAAAAAGAATACTTACTTTTATTAAAAGATAGATTCAGTTCTAGATTTGAAGCTAACACATGGATGACTGCTAGTAATATTAAGGCACCTTCAGGCTTCAGCGTTTGGCCACGGTGGCAGCTGCTTTGCTCTGTTAGACCATCTCTATGTGGGATTGCTTTACATGTAGTTAACCAGGCGGCTTCAATATAATGTAGCAACTAGTTAGCTTTATCTAATTTATGGTATGATTAATATTATTTCATTGCCCCCTTCTTCTGTGTATTTCATTAAGTGAACCGCATGCTGTGCAGAACATATGATTTGACAGGAAACACGGGGATGGGAGTTCCAGTTTTTAGATTTTAGATGCTTTTCCCAGTTTGGTGTGGAATACTGGTCTGCTCAGAGTCCTGATCTCAATCACATCCAACACCTCTGGGATGAACTGGAACTGTGAGCCAGACTCAGCTACACCGAAGCTCTGGTGTCTGAATGGGAGAATAATCTAATTTGTCAGATATGGTATCATAATTTAGAAGTGTGCCCATGTACCCTGAAAAGACCAGAAAGCCTTTCCAAAACCCAACAACGGGGAGCATTAACCTGTGAGGACAGATGGGCAGTTAGACAGAAGCTAGACAACTCTGGACACAACTTGTCAAGCAGCTGAAACTTTTTTGGGTCTGTCACAAGAATAGTGGCGATGGAGCCGACTGAATACCTGCCTGGTCCCCTGTGGAGTCTTTGTGTAATAAAGAGTATAAATCAAGCTCAGTAAACAGGAAAACAAAGTGTTACTTGTGAAAACTACAGCATGTAAAATGGACAGAAGTTATACTCTCATACTGTGTAATGTACAGCTGCCTTCAGCAGGCTGCAGGCTCTGTGAGGAGGGACCGTCCAGATACTCTGCTACTGTTTGCTGTACTGGAAATATCTTTGCTTCAGTATATTTCAAAAAGCTCATCTTCAAATCCTATCAAGTGGTCTTTTAACAACCAAGATGCTGTGTGGAGCAAGGCACTTATCCACCAGCTGTCCCATAGGACCCTCTCAGTGGATGTCTTGAAACCAGGTTGCAACCAGGTAGTTGCTTTGCCTGGGTTGGACCATGACTTGTTGACCACTATGGCCTCTTCCTACCTGTATAGTTAAAACCTTGCAGTGCTCGGCCATCTTTGATTCCCTGTTGTCCCAGAATGACGACACACGCTTGCCAGTTCATCTCTATCTAGAACACATTTACCCGTCTCTTAATGAGAAGGACTGCAGATCTGTTTCATGAACTAGTGATTACTGTACTCCAGCTTTCTGTGCTGCCCAGCGTCTCTACAGTCGCTCCTGTACGCAGTAGCAGAAACCTCTACCTTCACAGTGATTCGAGCCTATCCGATGTGTCGGTGACTCTCATAGTGTGATCTTGGATTTGACAGGTGAAGAGCTTTTCCTCCCTCCCCACCACAGATCTCTGCTTGCTCTCCTGTTTTGTCGAGCTTTCTCTGGGATACCAACAGGACTTCTGAGCAAGAGTTTTGCATAAAACACTTGCGTTTAATTAAATCAGTCCTTCCCTTCCCCCATCAGTCGTTCCCTTCTTCCTCGTCTCCTTTGTTGCCTTTGCTGAGGCGCTGGAAGCAGTGGACTGTGGAGGCGAGGAAGAAGCTGGCTACAATGGCCACCACTGAGACGGAGATGCCAGAGAAGATGACGATGAGGTAGTCGGTGAGGGTGAGGGTACCGCGGCACTCCCGGAAACTGTCTTCAGAGAGTAAACTGAGGGGAACCCGACGGCCATCCAGAGGCAGGGAGCACTCCATCCCCTCCATACCTGGAAGAGAGAAAACAAGTGAACCAGCTGACAAAGTCACACCTGTATAAACCGCCTCAGAACTGATTAACAAGGGTTAGGTGGCTGACGCTTTTTATCCAGAGCAGATTACAACAGCTGTATATGTCAGAGGTTGCACACCTCCGGAGCAGCTAGGGGTTAAGTGTTTTGCTCAGGGTCACATTGGTAGATGTTTCACAGTGGGGAATTGAACTCCAGTCTCCCACACCAAAGGCACGTGTCTTATCCACTGCGACATCACCACAGTAAACTCAACCAATGTCAGAGTGGGTGGCTTCTGGGGTTTCAGCCCCGAATGTTTTCTCAGAAACCAGAATCTGTTTTTAAAACAACTTTCTTTCATTTCCCCCCAGTCTCTCTGACTGGAGCGGCAAATCAATGGATCGAAAGTGCTATAACTGTGGAAATATCCCCATCTATAGGTTCCCCCTAACAATGTCATAGAGGGTTGTTTTGTTGTCTCTCTGTTTCACTCGTGTCACCTCAGCGAGCAAACTTGCTAGCTAGCCAACCAACTGATGGACTATGGAAATAACTGGGGTGACCATTTATCCTCTTTTTCCCGGCATGTCCTCTTTTTCAGACCAGGATTTATAAATTGCCTAAATTGTCTGTGATTTAGCTTTTGCTTTCTACAGTCGCCATTCATTGTGTGCGTTTTTGCATTGCTTTGACCTTTCTCTTTAAGGCCCACCTTCTCGCACGCCACTATTGATCAGTCATGTAGGCCTTCACGTCCTTCTCACAAACATTGGTTAAACTGCATCTCAGTCATTACCCTCAGCACCACAGCGACAGCTAAGAGACACAGCAGCAGCTTGCTTGTCAACAGTGGCACATGGCGCCGGAACAGTGTAAAAAATGCCCAAATGCAGTGCTTGATGTGGGACAGAACTCACTGGCCCACTGGTGTGTACATTTTACTCTTTGACGTACCATGATTTTGGCTAAGTTAGCACGTAGCATTAACAAATTACTGCCCCAACTGTGCTTTTTGTTTGAAAACCAAAATTTGGTCACTCTAAAATAACAGTTTTTCTCGTGGAGTAAATCTCAGCCGCCCTCCACAGAAAGTGGTTCAACAACAGCAGGAGCTCCCAGTGAAACGTGGACAGGTGTTGCTTCAGGTGTGTGAATCTGCAGCTTTAAAAGGCTAGTAGCAATAAGTTGGTGAGGTGAACTAGCCTAACATGCATTGCTGGCTAGCTAGCTTGCTAGTAGAGCAAATGAAGAATATCTATCACATGACTGATGATGTCCAAAGCTTCAAACGTCTCTGGTGCTTCAGAAAGGACAGATAGGACGTTAGTGTGAGGATAGTAGCCTCGAGAAATATAGCAATGTACACCAGACAGGCATAATTATAAGTATGACATTTCGTCCTTATACACAGTTATATTATAATAAAAGTAACAGGCTAATTTAATGGATTGAATCACTCTCCATCACATCACATTACGACTTGTGAAATGTCACATAAACATCTGAGCAAAGGTTCCAGGCACATTTACTCGGCATGTTGGGGATGCTTGATTTTCAGTTAGAGCAGCCAGATTATTATGGGATGGATTCAGATGCAGATTCAGATTTGTCAGCTATTTGTCATTCTCGTCTCCAGCACAGTGTAACCACTCTAGTGTGTCAGGAAGGCTTAAGATTTCTCACTCATGTAAATTAATGTGACATATAAAGACCTACATTATTTAGTTGCATAAACAATAGATTGTTTAAAAGAGAAGTACCATTTAGAAAAATCTAGAACACTGACTGCATGAGTCTGCCATTTGACTTTGGACTGAAAGTGAACTTCTCACAATTTGGTTTATTTCTAGATTCATTATTTCTGACAAGTAACTATAACTATATTTACAGTCAAGTCTAGTGATCATTGTTTTTTGATTCTTTTGATTCACAATAGGTTTCAAGATTAGTAATGCTGTTAATGCTGTATTTAGGTAACTTAAATAGTAATGTCAGATATTTTTGCCTCTATTTAGGTGGCGGGAGTGAAAATGAGTCATCCTCAACATTTATTGTGTTTTGGTTTCACAATGATGAACACAGCTGGAGTACAATCAAATGCAAAATAGAATGTGGGCCTCCCCATGCTTCCTGTCTGTGTCTTCTGGCTGACCAATTGCTAATAAGCTTTGTCTGACAAAAAACACACACACGCGCACACACACACGCTCACACACACACACACACACACACACACACACACACACACACACACACACACACACACACCATCCTTTTAAATTACAGATTCCTGAACAACAGAAAAGCCTTGATTATAGTCCAGGACGGAGGACGGACGCAGACAGCTGCAGACTGACAGCAGACATGCCTCTATACATACTACAGTCGGGGGGTGCGTACGCAGACATGTTCCACACATAGAGAACATGATGTGACCTCCTGACAGCAAGAAGAAGTTTGTTTGTTGCACTTGGCTGAACAACATGAGAAAGTACTAAGAACAAAGGACAGACCGACTCAACAGCTAGACTCTGTAAAGATTTCAATGTGCTTAGTATAGACAATCACTGAAGTGATCTATCTACCTATCTTTGTATCTATCTATCTATCTATCTATGCTGCATGCCAGAGCAGAGAGAGGCTCTTCCATTTTATTCTGATTCCTCTGTAGCCCTGCTGCACCCAAATATCATTGTCAAGTGTAGATGTGTGTCCATGTGTGTGCTTGACTCCCTGTGAGACCAGAAGGGGTTTTCCACATGAAGAGGGACTCAGTGACCTCATCGCTTGGTGATATTCCAGTCACGTGGCGCTACGACAAGCAGCCAGACTCATGCTCACACAGACATGCGGGAAACACACACACACACACACACACACACACACACACATCATAAACTGAATCAGAAATACAAACATGCAGACGTTAGTACATGAGAACACTGAAATACATCCAAAGTACAAAGACATCTGCAGGAACAGGCATATATTCACTCGTATTGGAACCAAAAACACATGGACAAAACATACACCGACATACATGCACAACGGTGTGTGTTCACAAACACATGAACAGGTGTACACATGCACAAACGCGTGTTTAATGGTGCAAATTTACGTTTTAACACAAATGCACACGTGCATGTTTTGCGGGATTACATGAACGTGTGCACGTAAACATGTCGACAGGAACACAAAATGGACACACACGCACACAGGTGCACACACAAACACACACTGTCCTGATGTAGCCGTGACCACGGACACAAAATGACTGACAACATTGTGTGTGTGTATGTGTGTAGTGTCCAGACAGGAGTGCGTCATGGCATCAGATGTAATAACGTTATTTAAGGGACCAGGACTTGGTTACTTAGGTCAGCTGTGAACTGGTTGAGCTTTGATACCAAAATCAATGGCAGGCTTGTAGATTGACTCCTGCTAACACCTTCACTATGTGCTAATGTCACCATAACATATGATTATTGAAGTGTTTGCATGAATGTTGCCTGTGGTGCAGAGTATTCCATTGTTCTTTCTCAGAACGCGTCTCGGCTGTGCAGCTGAGCTGGTTCTGGTCTGTTATCAAACACTCTCATCAGGAATCGGCAGAAAGATGGAGGACGGGGACAGGAGTTACATCTCCCCGTGTATGGCTGCCTGTTCTCCTGTGACCACTGTTCATACTGAGGTAACATCATGACTGCTGACAAAACTGATGAAGGCTGTGAGATCCAGTTGAAAAGCTAGTTAGTCAGTAACAGTGTTGTTTTGCAAATGGCTGCTTCATGTTTAAATACTAAACATATCCAAAACATCATGACAGTGTGTGTGTGTGGTTTCTGTCACGTGGCTACACACACACTTGATTGTTTTGTAAATGTGAAATCCATCTCCTGCAATAGAAGCTGCACAAAAATGACCTAAATCTAGTTTAGTGCACACAGACTGTGTGAGTGTGTGGAGGAGAGCTGTTTCTCTCTTTTCACTCAGTGTCATCATCAGGTGTATTTGGTCACATGATCAGTTAACTAGAGAAGACTGAGTCTCATGTCTGACATGGACCTTTTTCTTTCTCTGTCCAGATGAAAAACAAGCATTGGCTCTTTTGTTTTCAGTGTGTTTGCCTCAAGAATTACACTTTTCAATGTATTTCTATGTAACGCAGGAAGGTTAACCCTGTGTTCATCTTAAATGTATGTAGATGAAGTCTTTGTACACCTGAGAAACACTGCTGCTGAGGTAAATCTGCTTCACACTGACGTCTGTAGAAATGCCTTCTGGTTCCACAGCTCTGCCTGTCCTGATGCCGATGATGCTTGAAAACATCAGCAGCAGATAAACAAGACGTAGCTGTCTTTAATTCACTACCAGAGACCAACAAGTAGTGCCACAGAGACCTGCTCTCAGGCTTGTTGTTGTGTTTTGTCATTTCTTTGGGTTTCCTTTGTTCTGACTACAACTAATCAATCACATGTTAGACACTGTCTCTGCTCTGGCCTGGGGCAAAGACTGGAAGTCCGGACTTTAAGAATCTTATGTCTTACCCTTTGGGAGCTTGTGGCGGTTCTCTGTCAGCCATACAAAGAGTTTGGCAAAGTGGCAGCTGCAGAGCCAGGGGTTACCCTCCAGACGCAACATCCGGAGGGAGGGCAGGGACTCCAGGACGCTGACGTCCAGCTCCGTGAGACCAGTTCTTTCCAGCTCCAACTCCCGCAAAGAAGTCAACCCCATGAAGGCGTCCCTGCCGATCATGTTCAGGTAGGGGTTGTTTCCCAGGCGCAGTTTGATCAGACTCCTGGACTCCCCAAATGTCCCGGATGGGATTTCTGTCAGGTTGTTGCTCCCCAGGTCCAAGAAGACTAATCTAGAAGAGGTGCTCAGGGTCCCTGGCTCCAGCTGGGAGAGGGAGTTATTCCTTAGATCCAGGTAGACCAGATCGCTGTAGAGGACCAGGAAGTCGGAAGGGATCCAGGTAATCCAGTTGTTGGGGAGCAGGAGACGGCGAACGTCCAGAGGGATGGAGTCCGGGACTCTTGTTAGACCTTGGCTGGTGCAGTCCACAGTGTGGTGGTCTGGACACAAACAGCTGGATGGACAGTTGTGGCCTCGTGTAAGCAAGATGGAAGAGATCAAGGCAAGGAGAGGCTGCAGCCAGTTAATGCATGGTAACATTGTCGAGGGGGTGGCAGCAGGAATCAGGAGACAGGGAGTGAGGGGGGAGGTCAGGGAGACAGACGGAGAGACGGGTTAAGATCACAGGAGGAGAAGGGGAAGGAAAGGTCAGACAATGCCGGATCAGTGTGGCATCCTTCAGCGCTTTCTGCACCGCAAAACCAGAGCGACCCAAGCAGCCATGGCGTATCGAGGGAGCGCTGTGTTCCAGGAGATCATGTAACAAGCAGTCTGGATCAAACAGAAGCCTGCTGACTCTGAGGGGAGAGAGGGGAGGAGCAAGAGAGAGAGCGTGCAGGAGAGGGAGGAGGAGGGGGATGTGAAGGGGAGAGGATTAACACAAAGGTAAATAACGAACCAGAGGCGAGGAGGGCGGGGTTTGGGTAGACAAGCTGGGACAGCCCTCCACGCCTCATTAGTCAGCTGCTGCTCCGTCATCAGTCGGCTCAGCGGAGCCACAGCCGGAGTCCTCGGCTCTGTCTTCACACCCACAGACCTGAAGACGAGGACGCCATCACCATCTCTGACTCACACGTGACGCAGTGAAAAACAGCCAACAGCCGCCGCATCCCCCCTTTCCTCCCCCCTTTCCTCCCCCCTTTCCTCCCTGCCTCCCTCTTCAGTCCCCTTGTTCTTAGAAAGGGATGGATTTTTAGCCTGTCTCCATGGCAATGGTTCTGAAACATTACCAAGAGCAGGATGTGCAGACACACTGATCAGAACCAGCCGGACCAGCTCACTGACCCGGCACGAAGCTTAGTGTCACACGTGTGTTCAGACTGCTCAAATGAACTTGTACTGAATGTATTAGAGCACCAACACTGGATCTGTGAGGCAGATATCAACATCAGGCACATGCAGGCCTGTGATCATCCAATCACAACAAGAAGCACAGCAGGTATAATGACATTTCATTTATTTCCCTGTTCATCTTCGCGCTGCAGGAGGAAACATAGCTCAGGGTGCATGGAGACAAGCAGTGTATCTGGCTGATGATATGATGAAAGCTTTATCAGGATAGTCTTAATAGCTAGATTTGAACCACAATGAGCTGATAATTCGTATAAGAAAACCTGAATGTTTGCAAGTGACTTCTTATAAACGCTTGTGAAATCTGTCACCAGAAATCACTCATTTTGGTTTCATTGTGCATGTCAATGTCGTCAGTGTAGAACCAATGGATTACTAATCCTAAATCCCTCAATCTTCTGTTTGCCAGCGACGTCAGGTCAGAAAAAATGAAATGTTACATGAATATCCCTATAGTCTCACTAAATCAGAGAGTCCCTGCTCTGAGGAAACAACACAAATGCACAAAGCGCCCCCACTTGGATCACTATCGTGTGAGGAAAGTAGGCCACAGTAGAAAGAGGCAGGGCAGCACAGCATGACAGCTGACCAGTCCTGGAGTCAAGACACTGACAGAGACTGTCAGTCACCAGCTTATCCTAAACTGCTGGTTTGCTGGTACGAATGTCAGACTCACCAAACTGGACATGATCTGTTGTTTCAGCCTGATGAACGTGTTCAGGAGGAGGTGCACGTTTCTCAGCGCTCCTGAAACTGCCATCTGAGGCTGCCTGTTCCAGTCACAAACAGTTAAAGAGGTGGTATTCTGCTCATTTTCAGGTTCAAAATCTTATTTAGGGGTTGTACCAGAACAGGTTTACATGGTTTAATTTTCAAAAAACACCATATTTTTCTCATACTGCACATTGCTGCAGCTCCTCTTTTCACCCTGTGAGTTGTACACTCCGCTCTTGAGCTACAGAGTGATGAATGTTACTTGTACAAAATCTTTGTTGGGCCTTTTGCACATGCGCAGTTCCCAGATAAGGACTACTAGCCAATCAGAAGAAGGGCTGGTCGTAAGAAACAAGGTAGTGTGATCCAAATCAAAGCCACTTCAGACTGCGACCGTAACCTAGCAGATGGTATAAGTTACTCACAAGTCCACAACCACACAACATGATTGTTCTACATCTTATCATTGAGACTAAACGTTGAACTGCTGCCAGTGTTCTGACGATCTATGCTGCCTTGCCGAAAAATGCTACCATAGCGCAAATCGATAGACTCGACTCTACTCGGCCCTGCTCCGTTTTCCATTGCAGACAGAACCCAGAGATGGTATGTAGCTTGTCGTCATAGTGACGCCACACACCAGCGATCCACACAGCTTTCTTTTTTTTAAGTTAAAACGTTTCAACATTCCTCAGAATGTAAAGACAGATAAGCAGTATGAAAAGCTTCCAGCTGTGTTTTCCTCTGCCGTTGTTGCTGCAGCGGTCTGTGTTACGGCGGGAGCAGAGGGCTCTGTGAGCGGGCGGCTGGACGGCCTCACACGCTCCTCCCGCGGGTTGGCGCAGGCTTCCCCCGCAGCCACTTGTGGAGCTCCTCAACTCCAAAAATATTCAAGCACATTTTTGTTCCGCCATCACTTCTCATAAAACTGTCAATATTCGAAATCTACACAGCTGATTTCTCCCCTCAGAACTTCTCAGAAGTGGATTTAGTGATGAAATTACATACGAAAACTGTAAAATATCAAACTTTCTGTTGCTGGCCTGGTGCACGCAATGATGATGTGAATGGTGAATAGTGACGATTCTCTCTGACCAATCAGCAGTCTGTAGTGTTTTCACGTTACATTTTAGTTTCCCTCAGCTCGCTTGGAACCTCGACGGAGGTGAGGTGATATGAAAAAAAAGTACCTGGAAGCAGGTACAGGTACAACATTTCTACAATGGAAACCCAAACAAAGGCGAGTCGAGCCAAAGGGCCTCCGCTCAGACTAGCTTGGTTTGAGGGCGTGCCTGACCCCGCTAGCCGCTTGGCAAGCTTTATGACGCGTTTTCATTGTGACGTCACAAGTAAAGGAAGTAAAGGGCTGGGCTACAAACGAGCTGTTTTCAGTTCAGAGCAGAGTTTTCTGTGGGAGATGGGAACTCCCTTTGGGCTGGACTTTGGGCTTTTCCACTTTGCAAACCTGTTACATGCACAAAAAAGAGAGATAACACAATAAAGGAGAGGGGAAAAGCCAAAAAGCACAATACCACCTCTTTAAAGCATTATCACACTGGAGCTTCAAGTCCTGCGACAGTAATAATAACTTCATGTGAACTTACCTGTGGAGAGAGGCAGACTGTCCGTACATGACTCCTGAATTTCATTCATATCGTTGTACAAAATATTTGGTGAATGCCTCAACTTCTCTTAAATCAAATCTCCTACTTGCCATAAAATAACAAAACTGTTTGCAAGAGACCGTTTGTCTTCAGTCTCACTCTGACACCAGTCTGATGAGGGTTTTCTCTGAGGACTCACCGAGTTTTGTTTGTCAGAGTGGAGTATCAGCACAACAACAGAACATCTTTGTACTCACCAAAGTTAAACAGCACAACATTCATGGTCTCAGAGTATTGTCACATTTATAATTCACCTTGGTGAAAAAACGCTGCTGAGCTGCAAACAGCAGACACAGTTAGAGACGAGTTGGTGAACACGGTGGAGCATTTAGCAGCTAAAGAGACAGATATATCCCTCAGGAGCTGGTGGAGATCTAAGGGGCCCCTCTGGGGTCAGCTGAGAAATAAAAGAGCTGTGTATAAGTGTGTGCTCTCGGTTTATAAACTGTGTTCTCGGAGTCCTCATTGTTTTGTATGGATGTGTGGATGTGTCTCCACAGAAATGTTTCATCTTTGTTCTCTGAAAAAAAAAATCTTCAGAAATCATTTATAAACCCTTTGCAGATGTGTACAGTTTTACACAGGGCTCTGTTTGTGGAGGGTTCCACAGAGACCAAAAACAGAGCACAAAGGAGACCTTTAATGACCCACCTTTATCAGGTGATTTGACACACAAATCAGAAATCCCCAGCAGCAGGTAAACTGTTAATTAATGCACAGACACATGCCCTCTGCCAAGTGAAAAACATTTGCAAGGATCTACTTTGTTGCCATGAGCAGGTGCTACAGTGGTTTTAAATGCTGATGGGGCCACACGGTCTCTAAAAGGTTTTAAAAACAGAATGAACGGTAACTTGAGGTGTGTGTTGATGTTTCCATGAAGCCCAGTGTCCCCCAGCAGCAGCGTGACTCACTCTGCATACCAGTCACTCTCCATGTTCCTCCAGCACCGCTCCTCACACCTGACAGCATCTAATCCCTCTCTTTTTCTCTCGGTCCCTCCCTCCCTCTTCCTCTCTCTCTCTCTCTCTCTCTCACCCCAACCGGTGGAGGCAGATGGCCGCCCACCCTGAGCCATGGTTCTGCTCGAGGTTTCTGCCTCTTAAAAGGAAGTTTTTCCTTGCCTCTGTCTCCTAGTGCTGCTCTTGGTGGGAACTGTTGGGCTTCTGTAAATAACATCACAGAGTACGGTCTAGACCTGCTCTTTATGAAAAGCGCTGTGAGATAACTGTTGTTGTGATTTGGCGCTATATAAATAAAATTTAATTGAATTGAATTGAATTCTTTATAGCTGGGTGTTTCTGTAGGGGCCAGAGGATCCGTCCCCCTCAGGTTAACAAATACGAGGAGCTGCTTCTCTTCCACTTGTCCAGTCGTTGGTCAGAAGAAATTAGAGCCTGTCTGCTGTTTGAATCTCATCTCACCAGATTTAAATACAATCTGCAGACAACTTCAACCACCACCATCCACCAGAAAAGAACTTCAGAGTCACACCGACGTCAGAAACACCTTGCTACAATCAGCAGCTCTGTACAGTGGAGTCAGTATACAAGGGGGAAGTAAACAAGCTAGTAACAAAGGAAGGGAAGACCATTAAGAGAGAACTAATGTTAATAATGTTATGTGTTCTTCTTCACATCAAAATGTCTCACACACAGTCCAGGTTCAATTTACGTGTAGGCCTACATGAGAATTCAGATAATGTCCCAGCCGATCCCCGCATCGCGCCAATTCAGCTGTTAATAATGGTGACAGCACGAGTGCAAACAGCCACTGATGTCAAATTATTAGGCTGTAATATCAACCAGAGCATCCTCTGCATTCAGCACTGATCTGCTGTGTTTCATGTTGTCTATAATAGTGCCTATTATGTATCTGCACATGTCACAGTAAGTCCTGTGATGACAGCAACGTTTACTGGGTCTTTTCTTGCAGGGACTGATGATGAAACTTCACTCTCATTAAGATCATGGCTGGAATGATCTCCTATTTACAGGCAAAAGGCACACCGCCAAAATAAAGCTACTGGGTGTAAATGCTCCGTATTTCTATAGCGCCTTTCTAGCCTTTTCAACTACTCTTACACTACATCCACACACTGGGCCTAATTAACATTCACACACTGGCGGAACAGCCACCAGAGGCACTTCGGGGTTCAGTATCTTGCCCAAGGACACTTTGACATGCAGCCTGGAAGAGCCAGGGATTGAACCGCCAACCTTCCAATTAACTGGAAACCCACGCTACCTCCTGAGCCACAGTCTGTGTAGTCCATTACAGCTAACTTTGGTTTAGGTGTAATTTTGGTATGAATAACCGTAAATAAGCTCTACTAAAAGAAACTAAAACAACAGACCTCACTAATTTCTAAACCCTGGTTACGGTCCTCTATGTGAATTATATTAAAGTAATTAGTTGGCACATAGTAAAAGTATCTTAGTCAAACAATATGAGCATCTTCCAATTACTTACTTATTCTTCTTAGGAGTAGTGGTAAGAGACGAATATGTCGGCAAGAGAGGCAGCCAGAGGAAGTGCATCTTTGTGTTAGTGAGGAAGTTCTTGATTTCTGCATTTGACCTGGAGAAAACAGAGCAGCGCACCTGGTTGTTCACTGTGGGGTCCATGTGAGGAAATAAAACTGGATGGTAGGAAGATATTTGAAATTGTCCAAAACCAGAACCGTGTCTTATTTTGTGTATCTAATGTTGTATGTAATGTATTCATGTTAATGTCCAGGGGGTGTGTTGTCATTATGGGAGCTGTAAGTTGTTTGAATTGTCACAATTTATATTCATATATGGATCTCAGGAAGATGGGGAACGCCGTCATCCCACCCAGTGAGGCTTGCACACATACCGGAATATACAGTGGGTACGGAAAGTTTTCAGACCCCTTTAAATTTTTCACTCTTTGTTTCATTGCAGCCATTTTCCAAAAATCAAAAAAGTTCATTTTATTTCTCAGTAATGTACACTCAGCACCCCATCTTCACAGAAAAAAACAGAAATGTAGAAATTTTTGCAAATTTATTAAAAAAGAAAAACTGAAATATCACATGGTCATAAGTATTCAGACCCTTTGCCGTGACACTCATATTTAACTCAGGTGCTGTCTATTTCTTCTGATCATCCTTGAGATGGTTCTACACCTTCATTTGAGTCCAGCTGTGTTTGATTATACTGATTGGACTTGATTAGGAAAGCCACACACCTGTCTATATAAGACCTTACAGCTCACAGTGCATGTCAGAGCAAATGAGAATCATGAGGTCAAAGGAACTGCCTGAAGAGCCCAGAGACAGAATTGTGGCAAGGCACAGATCTGGCCAAGGTTACAAAAAAATTTCTGCTGCACTTAAGGTTCCTAAGAGCACAGTGGCCTCCATAATCCTCAAATGGAAGACGTTTGGACGACCAGAACCCTTCCTAGAGCCGGCCGTCCGGCCAAACTGAGCTATCGGGGGAGAAGAGCCTTGGTGAGAGAGGTAAAGAAGAACCCAAAGGTCACTGTGGCTGAGCTCCAGAGATGCAGTCGGGAGATGGGAGAAAGTTGTAGTAAGTCAACCATCACTGCAGCAATCCACCAGTCGGGGCTTTATGGCAGAGTGGCCCGACGGAAGCCTCTCCTCAGTGCAAGACACATGAAAGCCCGCATGGAGTTTGCTAAAAAACACCTGAAGGACTCCAAGATGGTGATAAATAAGATCCTCTGGTCTGATGAGACCAAGATAGAACTTTTTGGCCTTAATTCTAAGCGGTATGTGTGGAGAAAACCAGGCACTGCTCATCACCTGTCCAATACAGTCTCAACAGTGAAGCATGGTGGTGGCAGCATCATGCTGTGGGGGTGTTTTCAGCTGCAGGGACAGGACGACTGGTTGCAATCGAGGATGAATGCAGCCAAGTACAGGGATATCCTGGACGAAAACCTTTTCCAGAGTGCTCTGGACCTCAGACTGGGCCGAAGGTTTACCTTCCAACAAGACAATGACCCTAAGCACACCGCTAAAATAACGAAGGAGTGGCTTCACAACAACTCCGTGGCTGTTCTTGAATGGCCCAGCCAGAGCCCTGACTTAAACCCAATTGAGCATCTCTGGAGAGACCTGAAAATGGCTGTCCACCAACGTTTACCATCCAACCTGACAGAACTGGAGAGGATCTGCAAGGAGGAATGGCAGAGGATACCCAAATCCAGATGTGAAAAACTTGTTGCATCTTTCCCAAAACGACTCATGGCTGTATTAGATCAAAAGGGTGCTTCTACTAAATACTGAGCAAAGGGTCTGAATACTTATGACCATGTGATATTTCAGCAAAAATTTCTACATTTCTGTTTTTTTCTGTCAAGAAGGGGTGCTGAGTGTACATTACTGAGAAATAAAATGAACTTTCTTGATTTTTGGAAAATGGCTGCAATGAAACAAAGAGTGAAAAATTTAAAGGGGTCTGAATACTTTCCGTACCCACTGTATATCTGTCTCACGGTCACATCAAAACACCAATAGTCCTGGTCTTTAGAAGCAAAACGAGCTATCATGCTGTTATCAAAGCCGAACAAGCGACGGTTTGCTTGAGTCCTATTCTTTTTAATGGGTTAGGGTGAGAGGTAATGAAGAGCTCACTAGGGCATCACCTTTTATTTATTGTTTTTTTAATCTTTCTAGGAGTCGACTAAAGATGAATAATGTGTTTGTCTTAAGTCTGAGTAAAAGTTATTCTGAGTAAATCTTTGTTGTTTTACTTCTTCTTCTCTCCTCTGTTATGAAATTAGTTTTGAGGCTGAGCTCTTAATTGCTGTCAGTTTCACTCAAGACCTCACAGATGTCACTGCTACTGATCAAATGCATTTAGGTGACCCTGTTTTCTGTATGTTCATATAATCTATCATAACTCTTGAGTATAGCAATCAAATAAAACTGTCCTGGTTATTCTGAAAAAATGCAAAACATGCAAGTTACTATTAATGCGTTACTAGTAACTGTAATAACATTACTTTCCCCAGTAACTAGTAGTGTAACTAATTTTCTAACACGGTAATATTATTACTAGTTACTAAGGCAAGTAACGCTGCGTTACTCGTTACTGAACGCACCATCCTTGACGTAAATCCACGACTGTGCGGCAGCTCAGCGGCACAAGTAGCTGCTGCCATTATTGTGTCACAGTCTAAGATGCAAAGAACATTGTCGTCTATTGTAAACTCTGAGCGACCAGCAAGAAGTTTTCAACCGCAAACATTTCTACATCTGATTTATTGGAGCATCTGCTGAAGCAGCACAGCGACGTGAAACTTCCAGAAAGAAACTCCGGCAGCTGCTGCCACTGACACTGGACTCGTCGGCAGAGAGTGGCGTTAACGTAACGTTTTATAACTACTGAAGACTGCTCTTATAAACAGGCTGCATGTGCAGAAAAACAGCTGTTTAAAAGTCGGGATTTACTTGCTTTATTCTTTTATTTCAGCCGGTGGCGTTAAGAAACGTTAGGCCTGGGCTATATGCTTTGTAACAACCACACTCCTTGCTGCGGTGGAATATGGTATTAGTTCAAAAGTCGGGAGAGACTGCCGTGTTTGGGGGTGAAGGGGGTGGTAGTGAAAGCAGTGTTTCCCATACTTAGCCTATGATTTGGATAATTATAGTTTTTTTTTTAAAATCATTTTTTATTGAGGAGCATATATTCGTGCAGCAACTCCTCGCTCGCTCCCTCTTTCTCTCTCTCCTGAACACCGCTGCAAAAACCTGCCCAAAGCTAGAATAACCCCCCACCCACTGTCATTCTGCGGGAAACACTGGAAAGTAATATAGTAAGGTAACGAGTTACTTTTATCACCCAGTAATAAGTAAAGTAATAATATTACTGTTTTAGAAAAGTAAGTATTGGCTCAGGTTTTTAGTACAGGGCCAGGAATGTTATCAGGCCCAGCTGATTTACTCATATCCACTCTCAGCAGGACTCTCCTCACATCTGCTGTGGATATGGACAGTGGCGGGACCTCTGGAGGTGGAGACTTTACAGCTGACTCATTGTTGAGATCCAAGTGAGCATAAAAAGGTGTTAAAGTTAATCTCATAATGTGGATAAAATGGTAATGTGGTAATGTGAATATACAGACATAATAAACAATGTATGTAATAAACCACCAAATAAACCACATATAGTCTGTATCCTGTGAGTCTAAATGCATTTGACAGTTTGAAGATTAAAAACTGTATATTTCTTCAGTCCTTCCTGAAGCTTAACAGATCCTCTACTTCCCTCTTGTGCCCACAGCTTGCACCACAGTGTGAGTGACGTTTTATCTACCAGTGTTTCTGAACTGCACGGCTGTAAAGAAGATCAGCAATGTAGAATGGAATCTGCCATCTTGTATTGTTGGGTATTACAGCAGGCATTCGGGAGCGATCATTATGGTAGATGTTTTGGAGCATTTGTCTGGTGATAATCTGCTCATAATCCGGCCAGAAGTCAGTGATGTTAGAGAATGAAATGCTGCGTTCACTGCACGTCACCATTGATTGTTTGGTTTTTTATTGAAGACAGTTGCTACAAAACTCAGTTTGTTGTGTTTTCTTTCTTTACTTTTCATTTTCGTGTTTTTTACAAAATAAACCAGTAACAGTATTACAAATAATTCAAATCGATACATCATTCACAGGTTTACCATCAAATATACATTTATACAGAAAGAGCTAAAATAGAAAAACAAAAGTCCAAGTGAGGTCACAGTGGTAAGGGCTGAGAAGAGGGGCGATCCCCGTGTCCCGTGTGCTTTGGACCAAAAAGGGTCCAGGAAATATCTTTATAACTTGTGTGTACACAGAGCAGAAATGTTTCAGGGCCACCCGGGTCAGGCAGAGAGGGCGATTGTGCGGTAAAGAACAGGCGAAGCTGAAACATCAGATTCTGGCAGTTCATGTTCACTTATCATTTCCAGAGGATTTGATTATTGGCCAAAACATTTTGAAAGTTTACAGCTGCTACATACTGTACATGCTGCTGTGGAAGCCATCAATTTGATTTCCCTTCAACTTCAAATTCATTTTTTCAAATTGTACTTGTAACATCTTTAAGTAATAGGTCAACATTTTGTGTTCCCTTTCTTTCAGAGCGTGAGATGAGGAAATGGATATCACTCAATCAAAAACATCCATCAACACCTCTAAAGCTCACTATGTACCGCGCTGAGTCTCACTTTTATTACGCAGTGACTCTGTGCAGCTTCCAGCAGTCATGTTGTTCTTATTGTTCAGTTCTACAGCCCTGATTCTGGAGTCACTGGGCCAAAACCAGTTTGATATTAACCATATGTCAAGTGTGTTATGCTTTCTTTGGCATGCCTGTACATTTGTCTTGTTACTTATTAGCCAACAAATGTGGCAGCACTAAATATAATCTGTCATATTTATCAGCTGGGCTTTCTGTTGTACCGCCGTACCTGTGCAGAGATCAAAACCAAACCCAGGGGCTGATCGACGGAGGAGGAACCCTACACAGAAGATCAGGACACATGGTCCAACTGTTGTTCATCAAGAACAGTTTCAGCAGGCTACAAACAGCAGATGCAACATGAGTGACCTTTAGAGGATCTGCTGTGCTTTCTGAACTCTGACAGCCGGCAGAACCAGGCTAGCTGCGTCCAATCTTTATGCTATGCTAGGCTAACCACTGACATGACATGGAGGTCGAACTCTCAGAGAAAAAGAGAAGTAGTACCTTTTCCCACTATGTCCCTTTATAGCCAGAATGTGCAGGAAAATTGAGTTTTGTGTCTGGACCAGAACCCGAACATTTCAGCTCCATGGGAGGACTGAGAAGCTGCACAGTGCAGCGAGAACATGGAGAACAGGCACACATACTGAAACAATCACAAAACAACTGAATGTTCTCTTTAAACTGTACACAGAGAGGTCTTTTCTGTTCTCTGAGGCAGCAGAGAGTCTGCTGGTCATTATAAAATAACCCCAGGTGGAAGGAAGACACCACGGGCAGCAGTGAATGTGTCTCACAGGATCATTCAGATTCAGAGTTTTCAGTCGCCACAGAATATAATAATATTCATTCACAGAATTATCCAGTGGTTTGCATGTGAAAAACTTCCGTCACAAATATTTACTGTGCTTTCTTGATTGTTCCAAAATGACATTTTCATTTTGGAATGAAATGAAAATGATTTCTGGGATGTTGGTGCAGTCCACTTTAACAAGATTCAGACTTTGACTCTCCAGGAAACCTCAGCCTCCCTTACACAATCAAAAGGTTTAGACTGAAGATTGTCTTTAATGCTTTGTCTGATTTATCTATCATTTATTCAGACGGAAGAGCACAAACTTTATAATCCTGGCTGCTAAACTATCAAGATTATGTGCTCACATTTGTAGAGAACTACGTTTCCCAACAGAGACCCATCAAGTCAGTTTGAACACGGTCTGAATGTGCATCTCATATGTACGGTACAGTACAGTGTCTTTGTGCATCTGTAAAACATAAAGGACCATCGTTACAGTAATGTCACACGCAGCATGACAACATGATGCAGACTGGGAACAACAATCAACATTTTTAAATATCAAAGGAAAAAGGAGGATGTGAAAACAAGAATTATCTGGAAGAGATGTGGAAGCACCTTTTTATTTTACACTGAAGTCATTTAATGACCAAACTAGTCATGTGACTGCAGGGAGTTGGACACAGAGCACAGGGCACAGCCACAGTGTGCAGTGTGTACAGATAAGCCACTAAACACAGACAATATGTTCACACATAAACATGCACCGGCAAATACTGTACAAGTAAAGAAGTTCGGTGCGTTTCTTTCGACCTCACTGTGCGCCTGAACGACCAAAGGAGGGAGGTGGAAGTGCAGGTCGGTAATCCAGCCTTTAGGTGTGACAAACACATGAAATGTACAAGCTGCTTTTCAACAGACAGTGTGGGTTCTGTAGTGGTACCTCGAAAATTGTAACTTAGTGAGCAGATGAAGAATAAGTGGCCCATAAAAGGAAGGAACAGAGGTTTTCCCTCCTGATTTCAAAACATCAGCTGAGAGGAAGTCTCTGCCTCATTGTGACCATGCACAGAGCAGTTCAATGGATTTGGAGGTCTGAGGACTCAGGACAGGACACTAACAGTGAGTGGTTAAACCTGTGCTTTGTGCTGGTACAGTAGAAGGAAGAGGTTTAACATGCCAAATGTCCCAATGCCAAAAAAAAAAAATCACATGTCCCAATGTGAGAATTCACCTGTCTGTGACGTCTGTGTATAAATCGTTGTCATAACTGCATAACGTCTATAAAAAGCACACTTTTATCAAAATTTACATTTTTGAAAAGCAACAAAATAGAGTTCTGAGAGTGTACTGTTTCTGTGAAATCCAAAAATCCTGTTGCCTTTAGAACCCCCACCCAGAGTGGGTTCTGAAACTGCCTGTTGGTACGACGCAGCTGGATCATCTTCCACCACAAAGAGATTCTGCACACGGAGAGATGATTCAGGACCTATTTCATGCTGAACGTCCTACAGAACACCTGGGAGGGTAAACGCTCAGCATCAGTGGACTCGAACACAGCCTGCGTTTACAGAACTATGGCTGTCTGCCAGAAGCAGAGGTGGAAGTAGCATGGCACTGTCACGGTGCCACAAACCCTAACCAACACCGTACCACAGTCTATCCTTAAATCAATCAATCAGACCTCAACCTCAGCACTCCACAGTCACGTGGATTTGGTTTTGGAAGCTACTGACCAATGAGGACGTCCCGCTGATCGAGGCATCAGGTCAGAAAACAAAGACAAATGATGTATTTGTTGTTCAGTTTGTCGGACTTGTTCTCGTGAACGTTGAGGCTGTTCCTTACTCTACTGCAGGTTCTGACACGAACCTCTGCCCTTTCATTCTGTAAAGGGGAAAATGTACAACAGCTTCTTCACACATAAGCTCTAGTTTAGCAACCCTCCGGCCCACCAGGCCCCTGGGCCTGTGCCTGGACAGCCTGTTCAGTAATCCATGAATATGCATAGAGCAAAAGTTACCATGGACAGGGGCTAAATTTGTTTTTTACATGGAAACCAGACAGTGACTAAAAAAGTGTCAAGATAATAAATATATATAAAATATAAAGTTACACTACCGGCTTTCCCTTGGCGTAACCCTAAAGCTGATGATACACGGGTCAACTTTTTGAGCAATGTTGTTGGGCAATCTTGCTAGTGGCAAGTCCGATTATGTTTTGAACGGATAGCGGCGGTGCGGGGCGGGTAGCGGAGTGGTGGGGGAAGGGGATTACGGTAGTAATCTTTACTCATTACCATTGATGACAACATTGCACTGCACGATCTAAATGAATGTGCTAGAAGCCAGCACACTGTGGTTCCTACAGGACAACAGGCCGCCCTGACAACAACTGTCCAAACCTTAGAGGTCAGGGCAGCTGTTTGAGATGATGAAGTGCTTTAAACTAGCCAAAGACTAAACAGGCGACATCATCTGGTGTAAAACTGGAGGACAGCTGGATGTCTCTCTGTGTGCCACTTCTTCACTGACGGGTCCACCATAAACTACATCTCAATTTTTGTTGTTGTGTGTCACAACACAGCTAAATGCTGAAGACTATGCTTTGTTGCTGAGTGTAGTAACTGTGCAGTTATCTGTCCCCCAGGTTTGTCTTTTCTTCACTGAGGTGAGATCCGGATCTGAATGTGAAACATGTCTGTAAGTGAGAACTTTGGAGCTTAGAATCATGTCGTGTAGAAACTAATTCAGATACTGAGTCACTCAAACAAAGGTTGGTGATCAGAGATCAGTGTTAATATTCTGTATTAAACACCACTGAGCTGTTTGTTGGGGTGTATGCCAAAGTTAAGCAAAGTGGATATGTAAAAGAAGACATACCTTTACCTCCAAAACACATGTGCAGCACTGAGAAAGCCCTGATTGTTTCCTAACAATAAACCCTGACCCAGACTTACTACAGTAACTCTACACAGTAAACGGGAAAGTGACATCACAGTGACAGGCAGAACCATGGTCCATTTCAGGTGACTCAAGTGTAGTTCAAGGTTAAAAAGGTTATTTTCTTGGTAAGAAGAAGAAAAATAGGAATATCTACCAACTGGCTTTTAAAAATATCAGCAGCAATTTTATGGCCAGCTCACTCAGGATTCACTCAGGAGGCCATGTTTAAAGTCTGTGGGTTGACAGGAGCTGTGTGGTTCTTCCACGTGTCTCAGACGTCCATTCACCAGTCACAACATCTGCGGCTTCTGGCAGCACAGGCATCCAAATGTGTGGTGACCTTTCAAAGAGTCCTTTTAAAGGTCAAATCTCTTCACTTCATTCCAGTCTGTGAACCAATAACCACAACGAACCCAACACAACCACCATCAAATGTCACAGGAGTCCAACTGAGTGCACACAACTTCAGCTTGTGTTTAGTAGAGTGCAAAGATTGTTAGCTTCTACTGACCTCAGAAACCAAATCCTGTGCTTTCAGAGAGCGAGCTCTTACTGCTGCCGCTTCACAACAGCCCTGCCACCACCCACGCAGACAGCACACAGCTGCACCCAGATGTGCACATGGCTATTTGTTTTTATGTAGATTGGGGTTAATGTGTAACTTTTTCTTAGAAAACTCACTTCAATTGAGGGATGAATAAAATATTTTGAATTAGATCAAACTACAATAAGGACTACACAGTCTGCTTCAGACAGCAGGATAAGGTAGCAGTTGTGTCCAACACTTGAAATGTTCACAGACAATCTGAGTGATTGTGATTGGTAGGTTTGTGGAGGTGTGAAAGTAGACCAATAAACTGTGGCTATCGTTTGTTTGCTTTAATCATTAAGATTTCAGCTGTGGTTGATTTGGCAGCACCTGACAGCAGCTACTCCATCAACAGCCAAACGAACTGCCCCGAAGAAGCGCTTCCTTTTAAAAACTCATGGCACTGGCTTTGCGACAGGTAGAGCTGGGCCACTGCTCTATGTGGGTCATTTGTAGGCACACCATTTGAAGCCTGTGTGGATTCTACTAAAATATGGAAATACAGAATGTAAATACATGGAGTGTGTAGTGCTCTAAAACCACCTTCCATTACGAAAACATGGTTTAATAGGATGAAAATGTTCCTGAAATGAAAACTTTAAGTAGTAACTACATCAGCCAGCACTGTGCCCTGTTTCCTCCCAGTCAAATTCAAGAAGGCCAACATGCAGCAGAGCGAGCAGGTAAAGCCCATCAGTGAGCACCTAAAGGTGGCGCTACAGTGCTTTTCATTTCCAACAGTGAGTCTTGAACAAAAAAGTGCAAGGCTAATTTTGAAAACTGATTTTTTCCTGAAGACTGCAACTTGGTGTAGTGGAAGAGCCAAGTGTGGTTTAATAACAAAACTAAATAGACGTGGACTGAGAAGACTGGGTTCATGACTGTTACCTGGACATACAGCAGCTACAACCACCAAACATCTGTGCTGTGCTGCAGACTGAGGGAGGGAGGGAGGGAGGGAGGGAGGCTGAGGTTGCACTGAAGTCACAGTCTGTGTGCAGTAAACAGAGCCTGTGTGCTCATGGTCGGTCAGATCACACCTCCACCGAAGTGATCTGGTTCATCTGGGCCCTCATGGACTGGACGCTGTTGAGGATCTTCTTCTGGTGGCCGGCCAACGTCACCCCCACCTTGAGGATGTCCCTGAAGAGAAACCAAGTGCCACATCAGTACACCACAAGACTAACACTTGAAATCTTCAACACTACCTGTTTTCTGGATCTGAAATTGAGTGTAAATGAACATCTCTGTGTTTTATGACATGACGTTAGCTACAAAGCAGCAGTGAGGGGGCCAGGAGTTCTTCTTCCCTTAGTTTTGCCTCTCAGGCTACTAACAGGCTGCTCTAACCCTGTGATGGCTGCAGTTGTTGTAGTCCTCTACGGCTCCATATTACACCAATGTCATTCTCTACTTTGCAGATAAATAGTTATTTATTTTTAATACAAACTAGGTTACTAACTAAATCCCAGTGAACTAACTAACATGATGCTCAGCGTCATCACCACCTCTCTTTCTGTGCGATCTGCTCCTTTACAGCGTGGATTTAACAAAAGTATCTAACATACTCCATGGTCATCTGAGACACCAAATCAAAGCTGGTGAAGCCTTCGTTGGCAAAGTTCTCCTTGTACTGTCCCATCTTAATGGCGTCCAGCCACTCGTCCACTGTGCTGAAGGAGGAGAAGTCTGGAGTGCTGCGGTCGAGCAGAGGTAAGTGAACACTGGAGGACAGAAAGCAGACAAAAGAACAGCCTGTGAGACGGTCAACCTGTGAGGGGTGTAGCTCATTCGCAGGGTGATGGATGGAGGTCCTTCCTGCCATACCTTGATGACAGTGGTGTCATGGCCTTGAGGCTGTTGGGGTTGCGGATCAGTTTGTCCAGGTTGCTAACAATCTGGCTGAATTTGGGACGGTTGTTGCGGTCTTTCTGCCAGCAGTCCAGCATCAGCTGATGCAGTGCACTAGGACAGTCCATAGGGGGCGGCAACCTGTAGTCCTGCTCTATGGCATTGATAACCTGCAAGAATTTACATGACAACCGATGTGTCTCACAACATAAGTAGAACTGGATTCAGTACAGAACTAGAGAAAAGACATGCATGCCTGCTGGCATTTCAGATTAACCACATTCTGGCTTGTGGTGACTTTAATATTAGACAAAACTGACGCTGGGAACTAAGCTTGTTTGGGTTTCTATTCTGTAGTGAAGCAGACGTAGGGGAAGGTCTAGGACTGGAGACGGGGGGACACTGGAGCTATTCGGAGCTGTGTATTTGTTTTACTTTTGGCAGAAAATATTTGGTGTCAAATACTGATGCTTTGAGAAAGCCTGACAAACCGTTGGTATTTGACACACAGTGTACCCTTCAGCGTCTGTATGAGACACCCTGGGCTTTCAAGTAACTACAATGTAAACCATCTGCCGTCACGTAATGTACTTATTTTAACCCAAAACCATGATCTATTCCTAACACTAAAGGCGTTTTATACGCATGCTGAAGGTTACCTCGTGCGTCAAATAGAGATGCTTTGTCAGGCTTTCTCAAAGCGTTGGTATGGGAACATGAGAACGTTCCCTTGCAACTAGCAAACATTCTTAACATCTGTTAGCAAGCTAGTTAGTCACCAATGCATACAAGTTACAGCCATGCTCAAACACATGGGATCTCCACTATATATGACTGGTAATTAGATGACGTGTGATGTAGACAGAGGTGGAGCTGTTAAACACTATACTTTTTGATATTTGACAGAGCTAGCAGTTTCCCTGGCTTCCAGCCCTAGTTCTAAGCTAGGCTAAAGATGCTATAATCACATATGATTCTACACGTCAGCATCATCATTTGCTGACTGAATCATTAAAAACATAGGCTTATCACCTGTTTATGGCAGCGGACAGGGCTTTACTCACATCTTGATTGCTCATGTCCCAGTAGGGCCTCTCTCCATAAGACATCACCTCCCACATGACTATGCCATAGCTCCAGCAGTCACTGGAGGAGGTGAACTTCCTGTACTGAATGGCCTCTGGAGCCGTCCACCGGATGGGAATCTTCCCACCCTGGAGCAAACAAGAGTCAAAGTCATCAGCAGCACGGTGGACACAAAGACAGGTATCATTCCATCACTGGGGCTTTTTAAAAGAAAACTACTGACCTGCTGGCCCTCCTTCCATTTTCTAAACTAATCCAATCCTTTTCATGCTCCTATGTAAAGATGAAATGCTTTCACTGACACAGACCAGTCACCTTTCAGCCAATCACTATGAATGAACGTCATCCATACTAACAGGGCTAATCTCGTCCCTCCCTCAGCTGAGGAATTCTCTTGGTTTTTTAGTAAAAGTGTCTCCCAGTAACTCTCTCAGTAAGAGGAAACTCTTTGTTAGGAACTGTTAGTGCCTTTTAGGAGCCCCTAAAGTTTGGGGTATTTTCATATTAAAAGCCTCCGCCCCCCCCCCATCAAATCAAACTGCGTGGTAGCTCATTTCTCTTGCATCCTACAATATTTGGCCCCTGCAGTCTAGTTTAGTTTATTTTTATTTGTCAGGGACAGTGTACAAAATACATTAATCTTACAAAAAGATGTTTTGTACCAGAGTTAGCAAATGCTAATTTCCATCTGCAGTCCCCAGGCAGGTGCAAACAATATTGAAACATTACATATAATATTAATCCAACAATAATCATTTAAAACCAATCAGATGTTTAAATAAAAAAGCTAATCAAAAGACCATCATAGCCTAAAACATATACAACATATTCAAAAACAATTACTTCAATATTACATTTGTAGACTTTAAGTGTGCTGATGCTGACACAGCTGGTTATCGAGGATGTATTTCTTTAAGTTTCGAGAGAAATTATTCAGATCTATAGAAAACTTTAGACTGTCAGGGAGTTGATTCCATTGTTTAATGGTTTTAAATGAAAAAGCTGTCTGTGCAAAGGCAGAGGATCTTTTTCGGGATAGCACAATTTCTGTGTGCAGTGGAACAGTTTATTCGGTTCGTTTGTTCACAATAAAGATTTATGAATTTTTTCATTGATGGTGGAGCAATATTATTAACAATTTTAAAAACAGTTCTCAAATTTGTATATCGAATTAGTGAGTCAAAACTTAATATTTTATATTTACTTAGAATATTGCAGTGGTGATAGCGAGAGGCTTTAATGCCTGATTATAGACCGATATAAGCGATTTAAGTGTAGTCTCGTTGGCCTGAGACCAACAGGACAAACAGTAAGTGATGTGTGAAGAGATCATAGCATTAAAATGCATAAAAGATGCTTTAGTTGTCAAACTGATCATCTTGTTGATAGTGCTGCAGGCTCGCTGCGAATGACACTGGACTCTGTAGCCCCTCTAAAAAAGAAAATACTAAAACAAAGACGGTTAGCTCCATGGTATAATACTGAAACTCGCAAATTAAAGCAAATATCACGGAAACTTGAGAGGAATTGGCGTTCCACCAAAGTGGAAAATTCTCGTTTAATTTGGCAAGATAGTCTTAAAACTTATAGGAAGGCCCTCCGTAATGCCAGAGCAGCGTACTCGTCATTAATGGAGGAAAATAGGAACAACCCCAGGTTTCTTTTCAGCACTGTAGCCAGGCTGACAGAGAGTCACAGCTCTATTGAGCCAAGTATTCCCATAGCTCTCAGTAGTTACGGCTTCATGAGCTTCTTTAATGATAAAATTCTAGCTATTAGAGACAAAATTCACTAAGACCTGCACTCAACTGGCACCGACTTATCTCTAAACTCAGGAACCTTAGAAACAGCTGTAGAACCAGATACATGTTTAGACTGTTTTGCTTCCCTCAATCTTTACCAACTAACTTCAATAATTTCTTCATCTAAACCATCAACCTGCCTCTTAGACCCCATCAACGACTAGGTTGCTTAAAGATGTTTTTACCCTTAGACAGCACCTCTATACTAGATATGATCAATCTATCTCTATCAACAGGCTATGTACCACAGTACTTTAAAGTAGCTGTAATTAAACCTCTTCTGAAAAAGCCCAAACTTGATCCGGATGTTTTAGCCAACTATAGACCTATATCTAACCTTCCATTTCTCTCTAAGGTTCTGGAGAAAACGGTTGCTAAACAGCTGTGTGACTTTCTACAGAGCAATAGTTTATTTGAGGATTTTCAGTCAGGATTTAGAGCTCATCATAGCACAGAGACAGCACTGGTGAAAATTACTAATGACCTCCTTATTGCATCAGACAAAGGACTTGTCTCTGTACTGGTTTTATTAGGTCTTAGTGCTGCATCTTCACTTTATATATGCTTCCTTTAGGCAATATTATCAGGAAATATTCCATAAGCTTTCATTGTTATGCAGATGATACTCAGTTATATCTATCGATCAAACCAGATGAAACTCAGCAGTTAGCTAAACTTCAAATGTGCCTTCAGGATATTAAAACCTGGATGACCTGTAATTTTCTAATGTTAAACTCAGATAAAACTGAAGTTATTGTTCTGGGGCCTAAGCACCTCCGTGACGCATTATCTAAAGATATAGTTTCCCTGGATGGCATCTCCCTGGCCTCCAGCACCACTGTGAGGAATCTTGGAGTTATCTTTGATCAGGACATGTCGTTTAAGTCTCACATTAAGCAAATTTCAAGGACCGCCTTATTTCACCTACGTAATATTGCGAAAATCAGGAACATCCTGTCTAAAAATGATGCAGAAAAACTAGTACATGCATTTGTTACTTCTAGGCTGGATTACTGCAATTCCTTATTATCAGGCTGCTCGAAAAAGTCCGTTAAGACTCTTCAGCTGATCCAGAATGCTGCAGCACGTGTTCTGACAGGAACCAGGAAAAGAGATCATATTTCTCCTGTTTTAGCTTCTTTGCATTGGCTTCCAGTAAAATCCAGAATAGAATTTAAAATCATTCTTCTTACCTACAAAGCTCTTAATGGTCAGGCATCATCTTATCTTAAAGAGCTCATAGTACCTTACTACCCCACCAGAGCACTGCGCTCCCAGAATGCAGGGTTACTTGTGGTTCCTAGAGTCTCCAAAAGTAGACTAGGAGCCAGAGCGTTCAGCTATCAAGCTCCTCTCCTGGGAACCAGGTTGTAGTTTGGGTTCAGGAGGCAGACACCATCTCCACATTTAAGAGTAGGCTTAAGACTTTCCTCTTTGATAAAGCTTATAGTTAGGGCTGGCTCAGGTGAGTCCTGAACCATCCCTTAGTTATGCTGCTATAGGCCTAGACTGCCGGGGGATTTCCCATGATGCACTGAGCTCCTCTCTCCTCTACTTTCTCTCCCTCTGTATGCAACCTCATCCCATTATTGCATGTTACTAACACAACTTCTCCCGTTTCTGGTAGTCTTGTGCTTTCTCGTCCCTCTCCTCTCTCCTCCTATCACTTCCTGCAGGTTTTCTGGCTCTGGAGCTGTGGAGTCTGGATCTATGGCTGCGGGTCACCTGCTGCCCCCGTGTTCCTGCTCGACACCCTCTGCTACAACAACTATTGTTACTAGTCCTGTTGTTATTATTGTTATTATAAATCATTAACATTACGACTGTTACCATTAACACTACTATAAATATCTGTACCATTTTTCATTTAGTCTATAGCAACATCACCTTTACTGTCTGTACCTCTGTGTGTGTGTGTATATTGTGTTGGCTGCCTCCCTCCCCTCTCTCTCTCTCCTTCCATCCCTCTCTTTTTCTCTCTGTTCCTCTCCTGCTCTCTCGCTCTCTCTCTCCCCCTCTCTCTCCTTCACCCCAACCGGTCGAGGCAGATGGCCGCCCACCCTGAGCCATGGTTCTGCTCGAGGTTTCTGCCTCTTAAAAGGAAGTTTTTCCTTGCCTCTGTCTCCTAGTGCTGCTCTTGGTGGGAACTGTTGGGCTTCTGTAAATAGCATCATAGAGTACGGTCTAGACCTGCTCTTTTATGAAAAGCGCTGTGAGATAACTGTTGTTGTGATTTGGCACTATATAAATAAAATGAATAAAATGAAACTATTCCTAATATGTCTAAAGATAGAGATATTATATTTAATAGAGTTGGTCATTATTTTAATATGTTTTTTAAAACTTAAGGTCTAAATGGACACCTAGATATTTTATCTCTTTCACGATGTTAATTTTTTGTCCATTAAAGTAAATGTTAGGCATATCTTTAACTTTATTGGACTTAATGAAATACATTCCAACAGTTTTTTCAGTATTTAGTGTTAAACAAGAAGATTTAAGCAAATTACTTATTTTGTCCATGGCTGAGGACAATTTAGTAGCTACTTGCTCCATGTCCCTCCCATGTACGTAGATGACAACATCATCTGCGTACATGATGATGTCTACGCCCTTGCACACAGCTGGAAGATCACTGATGTAAATACTGAACAACAAGGGTCCCAGAATTGATCCTTGCGGGGCCCCAGTTGTGATGGGCTTCAGAGAGAACAATAAATTTTTTACCCTAACACATTGCATCCGATTTGAAAGATATGATTGTATCCAATGCAATGTCTCCATGGACAGATTATACTTAGAGAGCTTAGTCAGGAGAACACTGTGGTTTACCATGTCAAAGACTTTTCGCAAGTCCAGAAACACGGCATCCACCGTGCCCCCTCCGTCCAAGTTGGCTTTTATGTTTTCCATCAGATAGCAGCAGGCTGCATCGGTGGAATGATTGCGTCTAAAGCCGAAATGCATGGGATGCAACAAATTATTACAATCTATGTGATCGGTTAGCTGCTCTATAATAGCTTTCTCAAGAATTTTAGATGCTACGGGCAATATACTAATAGGCCTGTAATTGCTAATTTAATTTTTGCCTGCAGATTTGTAAATTGGAGTTATAACTATATAACTCCAATTTACAAATCTTACAAATCAAAACCAATTTATAACTAATATAGCTGTTTTAAAGACACTGGGGAAGATACTTTCATCAATAGATTTATTCACAATATATGTAATAACTGGTGTTACAATCTCCATATGTGTTTTAATGAAAGAGCTATCAAGTCCCCAGAAATCTTTAGCTTTTGAGTTAGGTAAAGATTATATTATTTTATCTGTTTTAGAATAATCAGTGTGTTTAATACACAGAGCCTCATGATCGTAAATAGAGGGCTGAAGTGATGAACAGGGATGAGGCAATCCAGAGGCGTGTTGGATAATTTAATTCACTGAATCAATAAAATAGTTTGAAACTATTAGTCCATCCTTGTGGTTTTCAACATCTATTTTCAGCTCTATTATTCCACTCTTAGTTTGCATCTTTCCAGTTAATTTATCTCTAGTTTGCCAAAGTTGTTTAGAATTGCCCTTTGCTTCTTTAATTATATTCAGAAAAAACATTGCTTTTGCTTGTCTTAACTGTTGAGTAACTTTATTTCGAAGTCCCTTATAGATCAGGTGATCAGATCCCGTTTTATGGGATTTTTTAATGCTGAATCTCGACTTCTCATCAATTTCCATTGATTATCATTTAACCAAGGTAAATGAATTTTTCCTTTAGGCTTTACCTTTTTTTGTTCAGAATATTTAAAAACAAGCTGTTGAAACATCTTTATTAACTCACTAGAAACTGTATTACTGTCTTTATCATTTCAATCCAATTTACCTTTCTTATTTCATTATCAAACCTCTCAATATCTTTCCTGGGGATATAGAGTACAGATTCATTAATGTCAACCTTATTTAAATTTCGGTAGTGCGCTTTTGACAATTTCCTTGCAACTAATGTTAAATTATGATCAGAAAGACAAAAAAAATTAAATTATAAACTTTACCGATACGGTCAGCTTTGTTAGGAAAAACTAGATCAATAAGCGTTTGAGATGTCTTAGTAATCTGAGTTTCTTTTTCAATCATTTGTGTTAAATCTAATTTTTTTAATAAACTCTTTTAGTTTTTTTCTACCATTTTTATCAAACCAATTTATATTAAAATCCCCCATAAGAAGTATTTCTTTCACATCACATTTTAATCTGTATCTCTGTTGTTTGGTGAAAGCGTTTGAGAGACACGGCATGGATAGATGAAACGAGTGCACCGAATACCAAGATTTATCTGTGCACGATGTCTGTGCCAAAGCATCCGACAAGTTCTTTTTACGCAATGCCTCAGTACCATCTGGGGAAGGCGCATCTAACTTTAGAAGAAACCTGCGAAGTTCCAGGTCTATCCTCCGCCGTGCACAGTGTTGATGGCATACAGTTTTGTCCGTTTCTTTGTGTGTGCTTGTAAGAGTAACTCACTGCGATCGTGACTGCAGATCCACACATGAGTGAAACGCTATTTGCGCCATTAGTTCTTCCCCACCTCCAGGCTAAGACAAAGACTCACCAGAGCGCTGGTGTAGGTGGGGTCTGAAGTATCGTCCTCAAGGAAGCGCGACAGGCCGAAGTCAGACACTTTGCACACCAGGTTGCTGTTGACAAGGATGTTTCTTGCCGCCAGGTCTCGATGGACGTAGTTCATGTCACACAGGTACTTCATTCCTGCTGCTATGCCGCGCAGCATCCCCACCAGCTGGATCACCGTGAACTGCCCGTCATTTTGCTTTAAGAAACAGCAAAATGATGACTGAACATATTTCTACAAATCAACCACATGTCTCCCTGCTGGCTTGGAATCAGATCTCTTGTCTAATCTGTAGTTAGAATCGTTGGCTGTTACTGCAAGCTTCGACAGACTCTTTCATAGATCTTTTAATTTCACCTAGACAAAAGAACTCTATTGCATTTTCTCTTTATTAATTTTGAACCAAAACCTTAAAGTCGACTGCTGATCTGGTTGACTTGCTTGTATAGTATTTAATGGGCGTTGACCTAAACCTGGACGGAACCAAAGAAAGCCATGTTGACACAGATATTCCACTGACAGTAAAGTAATATGACACAGGAAGACAGGAAAAAAAAAAATCAGGTAACTAAGAATTGGACAAATTAGTAGGCTAACTGCTAACTACTGACGGTAGGAAGTTACTGCAGTGAGGCGAAAATATCTGAATTAGTAACTGGGTTATAACTGGCAGACTGGTGTCGGTGACAGAAACAGCATGAAGTTTCCGACAACGGTTGGGTTACCAGCTTCACACATATTCATTTACTTTCTTGTCTGCTTTGCTCTGAAAAAAGATGTTTCATTGCAGCTGGGACAGTTCACGAGTAGATCATGATCAGAGATCGGAGGCAGCTTTGTCATTAATGAGTGTTTCTTTTACCCTGAGGAAAGAGTCGAGGGATCCGTTCTCCATGAACTCAGTGATGATCATCGCAGGGCTGCTCTTGGTCACAACCCCTTCCAGATGGATGATGTTGGGGTGGTCGAACTGGCCCATGATGGATGCCTCGCTCAGGAAGTCCCTCCTCTGCCGGTCAGTGTAGCCCGCCTTCAGTGTCTTAATCGCCACCAGGATCTCCCTCTTCCCAGGCTGCCGGAGGTTTCCACTACACACCTCCCCAAACTCTCCTGACAGGAAGACAGTCAGTGGAAGGTTTTAATAAAGCACAGTTAGTTAGCGTGTTGGGTCATTTAAAGCCTCACTAAACTAGTATCACCATCAGATTTTTCTATGGCAAGGTTTTGACAGGACTTGACAGGAATGATACATACCATAATCTTGTTAGACAGTAATATAACATCTTGCAAAGATATGGCAAGGCATGTCCTGGGGTACTAGGCATTGAGTGCCCCCAGTGCCCTAATGAAGAGCTCCAATGAGTCCAGTAAAAAGTCCCCCTGTGAAAACCTCCACTCACTCCTCACCTGCCTTCTCTGATACCTGACATCATCCTTTTCATGCACTGTTTCCTTTTACCTGCACCGATAACTTGTTCAATCTTGACACAGGAAATTTCAATCTCCTTGGCAAACTCTCTGACCGCTTCATTAGGGTCTTCATATGTGAAGGGGTCAATGTAGATCTTCATTCCTGGTGACACTTCAACAGAGAGATAGAAGACACAGCAACAGAAATAGACACAAAAACTGAAACATAAAAACATTCCTGCATAGTTTACATCCTCTCCCAAACCAACACCTGTCCCTTGAAACGTCAGCGTTAGCGTCAGTTTGTCTGATAACAGCTGACTGCGGGCAGTGAAGTGAAACTTACTGTGGCCACTGGTGTAATGCTGGAGTTTGTCTGTGTACTCAGACTCTGTTCTGTCTGAATTCCTCCTGCTGGGGACAAAAACACAGACACTTCAACAGATCAGTCTCCATGAACAGAGCAACTCCATCCACTGATGAAGACCATGTAATGTGGACGAAGCTCTCCATCCATCACTAACTCGCTGACTACGTGTGTGGTTTAGTTTACTGTAGACATTGAACAACTAGCAATAGAAGTGCTGTACATGGTGTTCCACATGCTGTAAGACTGCTGGCTCACCTGCGGCAGACAATTATGAGGACAGTGATGGCGATGATGAAGACTACCCCTGCAGCAGCTGAACCAATGATGAGGGGGAGCTTCTCCTGGATACTGGAGTTATACTCCTCTACAGGTCAAAGATAGAAAAACAAAGAACATGAAATACGGACACGATCCATGGCTCGACTACCTGTTAGGAAGCCCCCAGTTGTTGGTCAGTAGGTCTGACGGTCATCCCTACCTTCAGTCATGGTTTGGAAGTACATTTTGCCACTAAAGCGTCCAAATCCAGCAACAGTCCTTGCCCGAACCTGAAAGACGTAGATAGTTCCGGGCTTCAAGCCTCGTATGACTGCAGTGTTGGTCTGACTCCTCGTTAGAGACGAATTCCACTCTGCCTGATTCTGCAACACATGCATCAGAAAATAATCAGACTACCGCGGTTTGAGATGATTCCTGAAAACATAATAAACTACAAGTGAGTCGGTCGAGCAGTAAGAGTGTTACTGGCGTGATGTCTCTGAGTCAGTAATGACTACGCCAATGTCACAAGATCGCTGACGTAATCTGTACTCCGCGCATGCGTTGGCGTCTGTAGCTACCTGTCGGAAGCTCCGTCTTAAACTGGACTCTTATCCAGTTTTAATCCACACTTTTTCGTTACATGTTTTATATCCTTTTTACTCAACTTAAGTTTTTAACTGAAGTTTTACGTGGGTTAAGGATTCTAGTCATCTGACATGGATTTTAAGCTAGATGACCATAAAAACACTATCAACGCTACTGATCACAACAAAGCTCCGGCGATTAACGTTATGCTAGCCGAGATAACTCTGCCCCTTGAGGACCGCACACTCCTTAAGAAAGCGAACAAAAAGATTGCTGACCTTATGGAAGACATCCGACGACTTTCAAAAGAACTCAAAGAGAAAGATTCCTTGCTGACTGGCTTTATGGATGTGGCTTCAGTACAAGCCAAAAAGATTTCTCTTAGCGCAACCGCTAACATCCAGGACACCGTGCTCTACCTTTCCAAGGCTTTCCTCCTGCTCGACTCCGAAGCATCAATCAACCTGGGCTGAAGTGGTGGTCCGTGGCTGCGAGAGAGACAGGGCTGCCTCTCCTCCGCACATCGGCCTCTCCAACCGCTATGCAGCCCTGTCTAACGACACTCCGGTCCATCCAGCGGATGCACCTGCGGCTTCGAGTCTCCCTGATACGGATCCCTTTCAGCAGATAGTGCCTGCCGACACTGTTGCATCTCCTCCACCAGCTACATTTCCTGCACTGGCGGCAGACGGTGATCAGCTGGGCCGCGGCCGTCATCCCGGTCAAAAATCCTCCGCTTCCCGACGTAGGATCCTGAAGGAGGCTGTGCTCAGAAGCTCCGCTGGCTCCGGAGGCCGTCTCTACCCTGCACCGTTGGGTAGCCCTTCTCTCAGGTCTGTTACTGCTACTCCAACACAACAAAATGTCTCTTTTTAAGACAGATGGACTTCACCCAAACAAACGGGGCTCAGAAATGTTAGCTGCTCACATACAGCATGTGGTGCGGTCCACACATGACTTACGTGAATGACTAATCATTCATGCAGCACACCTGGACACACCACCGCTCACTGAACAGATCTCTGCCTCACTGCCACAAACAACTGTCTCCACCTGCTGGCATGTAAAGCCGTCTCCTACCAGCGTTGTTCCACAGACTTCTATTCCTGTCATCATCACGCATAGACCAGTAAACCGAAATGTGCACATCCCCCACAGAAATAATAGTAATCTCTTAAGGATTAGGACAACTGCACCAACTCCAGCACCCAGAACAAACTCATTTAAAATGGCTCTCTTCAATGTGAGATCACTTTCAAGTAAGACTTTTATCTTAAATGATTTTATCTTGTCTGCAAATCTAGATTTTATGTTTTTAACTGAATCCTGGTTGCAGATGAATGACTATAGCCAGCTAGCTGAACTGTGTCCGCCTCAATATGATTGTTTTAGTCAACAGAGGGTCAGTGGTCGTGGTGGTGGGCTAGTGAGTGGGTATAGGAAAAATTTAAAATGTCATCAAGTACGCTGTGTTGAATTTAACTCCTTTGAAGTTCTCACTCTTAAAGTTGGAGGGCTGCATCATATTTGTTATAATTTATCGCCCCCTAAAACCGCCTGGAGGATTTTTATCAGAACTTCCTGAATTTTTATCTACTCTGGTTTTAAATTATGACAGAATTGTTCTTTGTGGCGATTTTAATATTCATGTTGATGACCCCACCAATGTTAATGCAACTGACCTTTTAAATATGGTCACTTCTTAACTTCAAACAACATGTCAAAGGGCAAACACATAACCGTGGTCATACACTGGACCTTTTACCCTGGGTGTCAGCATCTCCTATGTGGAATTAGTGGACATGACCATATCTGACCACAGATGTATTGTTTTTAGCTGCGATTCGCCTGTTACTCATGCCGCCTCACCAAGCTCCGTGTGTTCTCGCATCTTTAATGAACAAAGTGTTTCAAAGTTTTGCACATTCTTTCAGAGCCAAAGCCAACACCTGTCTGATTCCAACACCAACAATCTGGTCGATCACTTCAATCTTATCTGCTTGTATATAATATAGAATCATATCTGCGTCACAAAATATTACTGCTCCTCTAAAGGTTAGGCCTACGTCTAAAGCTAGTGAGCAACCCTGGATAAATGACAGCATTCACAGCCAAAAAAAGAGAATGCAGGAAAGCAGAGCGCAGATGGAAAAAATCCAGTTTCCAAGTCCATTACCTCAGTCTGAAGGATTTATTAATTAACTACAATAACATGGTTAAGGATGCGAGAACACACTATTTTTCTAAACTCATTACTACACATAAACACAATCCCAGGTTTCTGTTTAAGACTGTGGATCAGCTGATAAACCCAACCCCTCCTTGTGCCTCAGCTGGAAGTAATCATGACTGTGAATTGTTTTTATCTTATTTTACCAATAAGGTGGTGTCAATCAGAGCCTCTATTACCCCCGCGGCCTCTTACTCAGAGGTTCCTCACCAGCAACAAGACAGTTTTAACCAGTTTTATCCCATCGACTTGTCTGAGCTTTTAAAAACAGTATCACAAATGAGAGTGTCCTCCAGCCCACTTGATGTAATACCTACAAAGTTTTTACTGAAAGTAATAGATTCTGTTGGGCCCCATTTGATCTCTGTTTTTAACAGCTCCCTATCTACTGGTTGTGTCCCTGATTATTTTAAAACGGCTTGCGTGAACCCACTTTTAAAGAAACCTGGTTTAGATCCCTCCCTCCCACATAATTTTAGACCAATTTCAAAACTGCCTTTTATTGCAAAGCTTTTAGAAAGAATGTCCAAACAGCTGCTCACTGTACTGGAAAATAACAAATTATTTGAAAAGTTTTAGTCTGGTTTCAGGAAGTACCACAGCACTGAGACTGCCCTGCTTAAAGTCACCAATGACCTTTTAATGTCTGCTGAGGAAGGTATGTGCTCAGTCCTGGTACTCCTGGACCTTAGCGCTGCTTTTGACACCATTGATCACAACATCATGTTAGACAGACTGAGGCACTGGGTGGGGATCTCTGGTACTGCCCTAGAATGGTTTTCAAGTTTTGCGTGTCTGTAAACAACTATGTCTCTTCGTTCTGTCCAGTTAAATATGGTGTGCCTCAGGGGTCGGTCTTAGGACCCATTGTGTTTTCCTTGTATCTGCTTCCCCTTGGACATATTATCCATAAAAATGTTTTTTCTTTTCATATTTATGCTAATGACACACAAATGTCCTTGCTCATCAGACCCTGGGATGCTTAGTTCAAGTACCGACTGTCTTTGTGAAGTTAAAAAATGGATGTCAAATAATTTCCTCCAGCTGAACTCAGACAAAACAGAAATCCTGGTCATCGGGTTCCAGCAGATGGCAAATCAAATACTGCCATCTGCTGGTTCCCTAGTAAATCACATTAAGCCTGTGGCAAAGAACCTTGGTGTTTGGTTTGATAGTAATTTACACACCACAAAGCTTGTTCAATCATGTTTTTATCAACTTAGAAATATAGCAAAAATTCGATCTATGTTAACTTTTAAGGACACCGAGACCATTTTACACGCCTTCATCTCATCACGCCTGGATTATTGCAACAGCCTTTTCACCTGTTTAACCCAAAAATCTACTGATCGACTCCAGACTGTCCAGAACTCAGCTGCCAGGCTTTTAACCAGAACAAAGAAATATGACCACATTACTCCTATTTTAGCTTCACTACACTGGCTCCCAGTATGTTTTAGAATTGACTTTAAAATTCTATTGATCACTTTTAAAGCTCTTCATGGCCTCTCGCCTTGTTATATTTCTGACCTTTTAGTCCCATACGCACCAGAACGTACCTTGAGATCCTCGGGCAGAGGTCTGTTGTCTGGAACAGCCTGCCCGAGGAAATCAGGTCGGCACTTTAAACATTGGATGAACTGATTATTTTGTCTTTAATACAGATGATGCTGAGTCATTAATAAATAAATCATGATAAAAAGTTATGATAACTGATTATTTTTCCATGAGCCCACTGTTGTGGTGGCAGCCCGGCTGACGGTGAGTGTCCTGGTTTTTTCTCCTTTTTATCAGTTTTTCTGCTTTTTTCCTTGGTTTTCCCTCCCAGGTACACTCACCCTCGTCCTCCGTTTGGCTGGGCTCATCCACTGGCCCTCTCCTCCTCGGACTTCCCTCACGGCGTCCTCCCGGTTCCCCCGCCTCTCCTCGCTTCCTCGGCCCCTGTGTCCCCCGGCTCCCTGGCCCCCTGACTCCTTGGTTCCCCCGTGCCTGTGCTTCCCCGACGTCCTCCTCTCCCTCCACTCCAGTCCCTCTCTCCCTTTTTCCCTCAATAAACCTCCTTCCCTCAGAGTGCTGCATTTGGGTCCTCTCTGTCCACACACCACGCAATCCCATAACAGAACGATCAAGCCACGCATGGACCCAGCACGCTCACCCTCCCTCCTCTCCACCGACTCCTCGGAATTTGAGTCCTGGCTCCGGGACTTCTTCAAGCTGAAAGAGCTGTGGAAGGGAGCCATAAATGACGGCCTGAAGAAAGCTTTCCGCGCCAGGGCTCAACAGCTGCTGTGGGCTGAGCCTCGCCTGAGGGATTTCGTCACACCATGGGATGCCAGTTTCCTCCACGCCCTAGCCCTTCCCCCCTGCCAAGGAGCCCCCAAGCGCGCCCCTCCCGGTGTCTGCGTCTGGGCCGTCACCTTGGCCTGAACTCAGTGATCGCTGGACCGGAGGTGGGTCCGGCGGCCGTTAGCCCCTCCACGGAGGATCTCTGCCAGGTGAGGACCCTCACGGACAGTCTCCTCGGGGACTTAGGGGCGGAGGATTGGCACAAGAGGCTGGACGCGCTAGTCGCCTTCGAGAAGGCTCTGGGTCAACAACCGCGCCTACTGCGTACTCCCCAACCTGCTTGCACCGCTAGCCTCCAGCCTATCCCTCCTAGTCCCCAACCTGCTAGCCCCCAGTTTGATCCAGGTCCCCAGCTCACTAGCGCCGCTATCCCCCAGCCTGTTCCTCGGCCCGCTAGCGCCGCTATCCCCCAGCCTGTTCCTCGGCCCGCTAGCGCCGCTAGCCTCCAGCCTATCCCTCCTAATCCCCCAACCTGCTAGCGCCTCTGGCCCCCAGCCTGTCCTTGATCCCCAGCCAGTCAGCCCCCAGCCTGTCCCTAATCCCCCAACCTGCTAGCGCCGCCAGCCTCCAGCCTGTCCCTAATACCCCAACCTGCTAGCGCCTCTGGCCCCCAGCCTGTCCTTGATCCCCAGCCAGTCAGCCCCCAGCCTGTCCCTAATCCCCCAACCTGCTAGCGCCGCCAGCCTCCAGCCTGTCCCTAATACCCCAACCTGCTAGCGCCGCCAGCCTCCAGCCTGTCCCCCCACGATCCCTTGCCCCTTAGGGCCGCTAGCCCCCATGCCCTGTTGGCGGATGGACCGGCCGACCCCTGCTCCTCGTGTTCTGTTGGCGGACGGACCGGCTTCAGCCCCGCCGGCTCCCCGGCCTCTGGAGAAGTCGCCACGCCCGGCTCCCTGCCCGGCTCCCCGGCCTCTGGAGAGGCCGTCTCGTCCCTTAGCCCAGCCCTCGGGCCGCCCGCCGGACCCTCCTGGCTTCCCCGGTCCGCCCTCGGCCTGCCTGCCGGACCCTCCTGGCTCCGGTTCCCCTGCATCTCCTCGCTTCCTCGGCCCCTGTGTCCCCCGGCTCCCTGGCCCCCTGTCTCCTTGGTTCCCCGTGCCTGTGCTTCCCCGACGTCCTCCTCTCCCTCCAGTCCCTCTCTCCCTTTTTCCCTCAAACCTCCTTCCCTCAGAGTGCTGCATTTGGGTCCTCTCTGTCCACACAACACGTAATCCCATAACACCCACTCTGTTATTATAACATTACCTAGTTTATTTGGTAGCTTATTTAACAGCTTATTGGACTGTAACTCTTCTTCTACAGCTAGAGATGCGCAGATTGATCAGCTGGGGACTGAAATAGGCCGTTTATTTCTGCTTACTCTGCCCCCACCAGTGACCAGGGCCGAGCAGTGTCAAATATCCAATTTTCTGCCGGTCACATTGAATGTTACACAGCCACACACACAGGCTAAAACATGTCTTAGGTGTGTGGAAGTTATTCACGAGAGTGAAGAAGACGCAACGCTCACTACATCTGCAGAGAAACACACAGAAAGAGACGCTGTGGATAGTGTAAAGCAGGGAGCAGGTAAAGCAACAGTGAACACAGCTGTTGGTGACGATGTCATTCAGACCAGGATGGTCTCTATTGGTAATTAACAACAAACCTCTTCCACACGCCGCTCATCTGCTGCTGTGAAAACGGAATCGCGGGTGAGAAACCAAACGCGAGTTCTGTTAAATAAAGCTACTGACAGATAAAGTCAGAGCAGACAGAAAGAGACAGACAGGTATGTGCTTGTGTGTCTGATGGGAAAAGCAAGGTGAGCAGATTACTGTAGTCTGTGATTAAGCACAAAAATAAATTGGAGAATTAAGTAGAATTAAAATGGTGTGCAATTTATTTTCAGCTCCTTCCAGTGAAAATGTTATATTATAATCAGTGTTTCATTATGACCATACAATTGAGACCAATGAGAACAGCCAATATTTATACTGGTGCTGATGGGGATCATAATAAAAATAGATTTTTCCAATAAATAGTTACAAAAATGTTTGTGCATGCTGTCAGTTATAGATCCTAGAAAGAATCAGTAATTGGAATCTGCCAGGAAAATAATCTGTGCAGATCTTACTATTTTTATATATATATATATATATATATATATATACTATATGTGTGTGTGTGTGTGTGTGTGTATATAAGAGACATCTTCTATCCCAGAAGAAACCTAAATTACTATGTAGCCTAGAGGACACAAGTTATTTAGGATAATATGACCACGTCGTGAGCCTATGAACTTAAGTCATATTTAAACAAATATTGCTTTGTGTTGTTGGCCAGAAAGATAATAGCAAGACTTCCTTCTGTGTACATGTATCCTATAAAAATACAATTTTGGCTGTATTACTTGTGTCCCCTTGAAAAATTGCTCTTTTATTTATGTTTATTGTCCCCCCCCCTACTGTGAGATGAGATTTACGCCCATGCATCAGCACTGATGTACCTTCTCGTAGTACTGCAGTTCGTAGTCCAGGATAATTCCGTTGGGCTGATCAGGCTGTGACCAGGACAGAGTGATGCTGTTGGGGCTTCTGCTGACCTGGTGTATGATGGACACTGATGATGGTGCTGAGAACAAGACAAGAGGAAGCACAGTTAGTGGCTGAAGAGAAAATACAGGCTGCTGGAAATGTTGGACCTCCTCATGACAGCTCATCAAATCACTGAGCATCGTTAACGTGGAGTTATGGCATGTGAAACGATGGGTAGCCTCACCGGCCTGGTTGGTGGTGATGTTGACGGACGTGTACTGCGGTGAATAAGGGCTCTGGTCAGATACTCCGTTGACAGCTTGTATTTCAAAGGTGTACTGGGTGTGAGCCAGGAGGTCGCTGATGTGAACACGGTGGTTGGTCAGTCCCAGCTGACGCGGGACAAACTGCACGTTGTCCCCACAGCGAGTGCAGCCGCCCCGGCCGCTGCCACAGCTCTTACATATGATGTTGTAGACGACGTCCTCTCGGCCACCGCCCTCCTGTGGCGGGCTCCACTCCAGCCTCAGAGAGGTCTCATTCACTATGGAGATGATGTTTTGTGGAGCTGATGGGACAGCTGGAAGAGAAGAAAATGATTACTATCCTCCAAAAACACTATTGTAATTGTAGGGCCGGTTACTTACGAGTACTTATCATTCTTTATTTGCCTCTACTTTCCCTCACTGCGGATTCCTGCCTTATACACATGTGGTTTAACTAATGCCCTAAATATGGTACGATACATGCACATAAATAAGACAGTCTAAGGTACTTGGCATCTTGGAAGGGGCGGCTGTGGCTCAGGAGGGTAGAGCGGGTTTGCCGTTAATCGGAAGGCCAGGGGTTCAATCCCTGGCTCCCCCTGGTTGCGTGTCGAAGTGTCCTTGGGCAAGATACTGAACCCCGATTTGCCCCTGGCGGCTGTTCCGCCAGCGTATGAGTGAGTGTGAATGTTAGTTTCCGTTTGAGCACTTAGGCTCAGTGTATGAATGTGTGTGACTGGTGAATGCAGATGTAGTGTAAAAGTGCTTTGAGTGGTCAAAAAGACTAGAAAGGCGCTATACAAGTACGGAGCATTTGCATCTTGTTGCTGTCGTGTTGTGAAGTAGGGCTCACTCAGCTTCTAAATCATTTTGACTTGTAACAGGGCAAATGACATCACTGTCATTACCTCTTCAGGTCGTGGGAGCATTCTATGGCGCTATGTAAGATTGAAATCCCAGGCAGGATTTCTATTTCGAGAACAGCGTAACACAACTCAAGCATGCAAGCCATAAGAAGAAGCAAGTTCTTTGGAAGAAGCTGGCTCGGTATTCTCAGAATGGATATCATGGCAGAGGCTGCGAAGAGACTGAAGAAGATGTCAGAGGAAGTGAGGAAGAGAAAGACCGAGCAAGAGACCGGACAAGAGTAAATATGGGACTGGCTTTTACTCGTTGAGCTAAAAGAGCTGAAAGGATGCAGGACAGACAGCGAGCTGGTCTTCTTCCTGTTGGACTGGTCAGTAATTTCATTTCATTTCATTTTCATTTATTTATTTAAGGACTGTGCACATTAATAAACATTTCTGTAAATGTGCCAGTGTTAGCCAGCAGGCTAATTTTCAACTGTAGTCCACATAATAACTTATGTCTTGTGTTGTTGCTCTTGCTTGATGTTTGGCTTTTAGTAAGTAAGTCAGCCAGAGGTTTCACGGACAGAGGTTTAGCTGCTAGCTATAAATCTGGAATTCATGTTAGCAAACTTACCAGCTAACAGACTCAGACATTGGTAACGTTACTGTATGTGCTCTTATGTCGGTTGCTAGCTTTGTTGGCTAGCTTGCTACACGCTCTCTTTGCAGTCACTCTCTCTTTTTCTCTTCTTAGCGTCATCTGTCAACATCCTCTTCTGTCTCTTCTCCTATGCTGTTAGCTAATGTTACGTCTATAGAGGCTGCTGAGCCCGGTTATGTTGCCCGCTTGCCTGACTCCGGCTCAAATACAAACCAAATCTTACATAATGTTGCTTTGACTTTCTGCAGGTGGTGTTCAAATGAAATTACTTTCTGTCAGGACAGTGTGTGCATACTTGTACAGGGCATTTGCGGAGGGTCTGAGTCAGTGCGGTAGTAGCCATTGCGGCAGATGCAGTTAGTTGCTCCCTCGCTGGTGGTTCTGCTGTTAATGGGGCACTGCAGACATTTGTGGTCTCCCTGTGCAGTCTTGAAGAAGCCTGATACACAAGCTGTGATGGAGACATGCAGCAGTGGAGGAGGTACAGAGAGGGAAGAGGAAGTACAGAAAAGAAAAAGAAGAAATGAAAACAGTGAGCTTAGGACCACGGCAGGTACAAGAGATAAGACATTGTCAAATCCACCCACAGTGTCAGCTTTATATCACCGTTCAGTATCAGAACCATCAGTATTAGCGTTGAGCAGATCCTAAAATATTATGAGCTCTTTCATTCCTACATTTTCCCCACAAAGCATATGTTTAGTCATGGTAGCCTGGATGTCTGCGTCTCATAAAGGTCAGCTCATTGAAGTGACATGTACTAGGACTCCTTCAGAGGCTGTCAGCTCTGCTGTCCACAAGGTCAGAAGACATGTCGGTGAGTACACAAGACAAGACCAGAAAGAAAGAAAGAAAGAAAGAAAGAAAGAAGAGAGAAAGCTGGAAACCTTTTCATCACATTTATTTTCTGTGTGAACGTATGAATGCAGAAGCTAACTGTTTGCGACTGTGACTTTAAATGTGATCATAGATATAGCATAAAAACGACCATAGAGTTGAAACAACTCCACCATGTTTTTAAAAAACAGAACAGTATAACCTTCAAACGTTAGGATTTATTGAATGGTTGTGGAATGGATTATATTACACTGTAAATAACATCCTGATGAAACACCAGCTTCCATCCATGAAAACAATGCTCTCTCTTAATGTGTCAGTATCTTCCTCTTTTTCACACCTGACCAACTTTAAAACAGACATTTATAACCATAAAGACAAAGTTTCACTTATTAAACAACCTAAATAACAAGTTATCTGGTTGAGTATATTTTAGGTATAGTCACATTATATTTTGACCGTGTGTGAACAGAAAGTTAGCTGTATTCAACATACAGATGTAAAAGTAAACATTCAGCTTACTGTGTGTGTCCTGATTCGGCTGTTTGTATGCAGCAAGAGGACATTTAGGAATATGAATATAAAGACATGACAGTAGCAGCCAATCAGGGATGAGTGCAACAACACAACGCTGAAGCAACACATTTACAGTCAGCCGTAACAGGGAGAATCCCTCTGGCTGACAGAAGTCTGATTACAGTAGCTGTGACACATCTCAGAGGAATAAAAATACTGTACATGATCATGATGCCTTCGAACACATCAGGAAAGGACAAAAAAGGGGAGAGGACAAACAGTGGAACCAGTAGACCTAGAAGCTGTTGATTAACTAGGACAATCTACTTGTTTTGTTGTGTTATTTCATTTTACTGCAGACAGAATCTGTCGTAGGACAAAGAGAAGAACAAGGACACCTCAAGACACAGAAACACTGATCTAATCCTAAAGTCCTATGCAGAGCACCCGGCACAGCTCTCGCATCACTTCTCACACATACGTGGGTCACTTTATTTTGAAAAGTAGTCAGGGCAGAGCAGGAAAATGATTCTTGGACATGTTGAGCCTGTAACTTTCTAGGTCAGTGAACAACAATAAGGTCAGCAGGATTTAAAATCTGCTATCATCCTGTTAAACAGGCTGATGGAGGCAGTGCAGTCAAAAGCTCCAGCCATGAACAGGACAGATGACAGAGTGCTTGGCTTTAACGTGACCAACAGCAGGGTTTACATGTTAGAGCTTCACATACTAACATACATAAAGTGACCCACTGTGCAGAGAAGCTAATGTTCTAGGAGTGGTTCTCTTCAACACTGCCTGATGAGTCCTGGTATTTTTTCTTCATAGTTGTGAGAGAACTACCTCCTAATGATGAGATCCTGGTCTGGTAAACATGTGAACAGGTTCAGGTGGTTGAGCAATCTGGATGGCATTGTTATGATTACCGTGGTATTCTGTGCCTGAAGGGAATAACCAATCAGATGTCCTGATGACCTGATGTTCTTATGTAAGTGAGGTTGATATTGACGTGCAGGATGCACACTGAGATTGATCAGGAAGTCGACCTGTGCTTTCAGGAGCAGCTAAACCAGCACAGGATGCTTTCCTCTCTCAATTAGAGTATTTAACCTCTTAAACCACAAAGATCCACTGCTAGCCCTAACATCAGGACTCGAACTTGGGTCTCCTGCACCAGAGGCATGTGTTTTATCCACTGTGACATCGTCATCCTTTATGGACGGTGGACAAGTAATCATGGTCGCACTTTATTGTGAGTGTGTGTATATACATTTAAAAAAAAAAAAAATATATATATATATATACACACAAACAGTAGGGCGGCGCGGTGATGCAGTGGTTAGCACTGTCGCCTCACAGCAAGAAGGTTGTGGGTTCAAACCCCAGTTTCCCCAGCCTTTCTGTGTGGCGTTTGCCTGTTTCCCCATGTCTGCGTGGGTTCTCTCCGGGTGCTCCGGCTTCCTCCCGCCATCCAAAGACATGCAGGCTAGGTTAATTGGTGTCTCCCAAAATTGTCCTTAGGTGTGGATGTGAGTGTCTATGTGTGGCCCTGTGATGGATTGGCTACCTGTCCCCCCTTTTGCCCGATGTCAGCTGGGATTGGCTGCAGCTCTCCTGCGACCCTGTACGCAGGATAAGCGGTTGACGATGGATGGATGGATATATATAGTAGGCCCTGAGATGTAACAAACTGATTCAAATTAGACAGAAAACTAGAAATAATGTGGTTTTATTAGACATATACCCTAATTAAATTAGTTAAATAACCAAGATGGCGCTGAGTATAGCTGCCTTGGTGTTAGGTGCGCTTTGTTTTGTTTTGTTTTTGTGTGTTAATTCTGTTTTTGACTGTGATTCCCGGTGCTCTTTCACCAGGTCATGAACCACTCATGAACATCAGGGGAACAACTCCAGCAGATTTAATTCCCACTTTTCTTGCGTCATCAGTGGAATTATTGGACATTTTGGTGAAGGGCTCGCTCGCTGTCATTCGTGCTGTGAAGTGACGAACTTCAGCTTCTGGTGGGGAAAAAAAACTGAGACTTTTATTCATCTTCTGTTCTGTGCTTCACGGAGACGTGGCTGTCTGAACTGATACCGGACTCCACGCTGCAGCTGGCAGGCTTCCAACTGTACAGAGCGGACCGCGACACAGAACTCTCCGGCAAAAAACAAGAGAACAACAAGAGAATTGTTTTTATATTAACAATGGCTGGTGTACCGACGTGACAGTGATTCAGCAGCACTGCTCTCCTAATCTGGAATTTCTTATCATTAACTGTAAACTGTTTTTCTCCCCCCGTGAGTTTGCTTCATTCACTCTGGTCGGTGTTTACATCTCGCCGCACGCCAACGTGCACGACGCACAGCGCATACTGGCCGACCGGATACTGTGTGTGGAGCAGACAAACCCGGACTCCCTTGTTTAAATACAGACAGTTTATAAAGTGTCCAACCAGAGAGGGGAACACTTTGGATCACTGCTACACCACAGTTAGCAGTGCCTATCACGCCGTCACACGCGCTCCACTGGGACACTCTGATCACGTGATGGTCCATCTGATTCCCGCTTACAGGCAAAAACTAAAGCTCTGTAAACCTGTAGTGAGGACATCAAAGAAGTGGACCAGTGAAGCTGTGGACGACCTCCAGGCATGTTTGGACTGCACTGACTGGGATGTTTTCAAGAAGGCTTCCAACAATCTGGATGAGTTTACAGAGGCTGTGACGTCCTACATTCAATTTTTCAATTTTCAATTCAATTTTATTTATAAAGCGCCAAATCACAACAACAGTTATCTCACAGCGCTTTTCATAAAAGAGCAGGTCTAGACCGTACTCTGTGATGTTATTTACAGAAGCCCAACAGTTCCCACCAAGAGCAAGCACTAGGCGACAGAGGCTTACATCAGCTTCTGTGAGGACAGCTGCATTCCAACACGCACCAGGGTGAGTTATAACAATGACAAACGCTGGTTCACAGCTAAACTCGGTCAGCTAAGGTTGGAAAAGGAGGATGCATTTAGAAGTGGTGACACAGCCGGGTGCAGGCCGTTAAAGTACAGGTTTAGCAAGGAGGTGCGAGAAGCTAAACGACTGTACTCAGAGAGACTAAAGAACCAGTTCTCTGCAAACAACGCCACTTCTGTCTGGAGGGGGTTCAGACAGATCACAAACTATAAACCCAAAGTCCTCCACTCCATAAACGATTCTCGCCTGGCAAATGAGCTGAACCAGTTCTACTGCCGCTTTGAGAGTCAATCTGACACCGTCCCCTGTGACTCCTCTGCTCAGCTTCAGCCTCAGTCCACCACATCTTCCCCTCCCTCCTCAGAGCTGGCCAGCTCCACCCCCTCCCCTCCTCTCTCCATCACAGAGAGGGAAGTCAACGGTCTTTTCAGGAGGCAGAAACCCCGCAAAGCAGCTGGGCCGGACTCTGTCTCCCCATCCACCCTGAAGCACTGTGTTGATCAGCTGTCTCCGGTGTTCATAGACATTTTTAACACCTCACTGGACATGACATGTGCCAGCCTGCTTCAAAGCCTCCACAATCATCCCTGTACCCAAGAAACCAAGGACCACTGGACTAAACGACTACAGACCCATCACCCTGACCTCTGTGGTTATGAAGTCCTTTGAACGCCTTGTGTTGTTCCACCTAAAATCCATTACAGACCCACTCCTGGACCCCCTGCAGTTCGCCTACAGATCCAACAGGTCTGTAGACGATGCAGTAAACATGGCCCTTCACTACATCCTCCAGCACCTGGACTCCCCAGGAACCTGCGGCAGGATCCTGTTTGTGGATTTCAGCTCTGCTTTTAACACCATCATCCTGGCCCTGCTGCAGGACAAGTTATCTCAGCTGAATGTGCCTGACTCCACCTGCAGGTGGATCACTGACTTCCTGACAGACAGGAAGCAGCACGTGAAGCTGGGCAAACATGTCTCTGATTCTAGGACCATCAGCACCGGTTCCCCTCAAGGCTGCGTACTTTCGATCCTTCTCTTCTCCCTGTACACCAACAACTGCACCTCCAGTCACCAGTCTGTCAAGCTCCTGAAGTTTGCGGATGACACCACCCTCATTGGGCTCATGTCAGGTGGGGATGAGTCCACCTACAGGTGGGAGATTGACCATCTGGTGACCTGGTGCAGCCAGAACAGTCTGGAGCTCAACACTCAGAAGCCCGTGGAGATGGTCGTGGACTTCAGAAAGAGCACAGCCCCAACCTCCCCATGTGTGACTCCCCAGTCACCACTGTGGACTCCTTCCGCTTCCTGGGCACCATCATCTCCCAGGACCTCAAGTGGGAGCTGAACATCACCTCCCTCACCAAGAAGGCCCAGCAGAGGATGTACTTCCTGCGGCAGCTGAAGAAGTTCAGCCTGCCAAAGACAGTGATGGGGCACTTCTACACCGCCATCATTGAGTCCATCCTCACCTCCTCCATCACCATCTGGTACGCTGCTGCCACTGCCAGGGACACCCTGGTATCATTCGATCTGCAGAGAAGGTGATTAGCTGCAATCTTCCTTCTCTTCTGGACCTGTACTCCATCAGGACCAAAAACTCTCGCCACAAAAACAGTTTCTTCCCGTCTGCAGCCTCATTAACAAGGCCCGGGTCCCCTACTGACACTCCCCCCTTGCAAATGATACAAATGTCTATGCACATGTAAATACTGTTTCATCTCGTGTACGCACAGACCTGGCACATCGCACATATTTGTTGTTGTATATTTTTATGTTGTCAGTTTATATATTTATATGTACACAATATTCTCTTCCGTTACGTTACTTCTGCACGGCACAGACCCAGAACAATGCACATGTATATATATCTACAACGTTGTTTATTTATGTTAACTGTATGTTTGTCTACGTGTAGCACCTTATCACCACAGCAAATTCCTCGTACGTGCATACATACACTATTTGGCAATAAAGCTCCTTCTGATTGTGAATCTGAATTAGACACATACACCTAAATGATGCTGTAAATAGAAACCACCAACGGAGGACCTTGTTGTCACTATTGGATCTAGGTCAAAGACCGAAAGGAAGATGGTAAAGTTGAATGCATGATGTTTTTGCACACATAACTAAAATAAAAACATATTAAAAAAAAGTTATTTATTGCAGCTAAGTGTCTGGTCCTCTGAGCTCTCAGTGTCTGACTATTATAAAAGCTATGTCTGATATAATGTGACATTAGATTTTTCTAATTAAGCTCTCATATGCCCATGTTCGTTGTATTACATATGGTGTCCAAGCGGGAAGCTTCCGGTCAGCAAACCGATGCAATGCGGAAGTCCCTCAGATCTGCATTCTATTGAACGGCCAGTAGGGGGTGAGTCTTCTGGTTGCAAAAAGAAGTCCGTCTCCTTTAGAAATAATGGGAAAATGACCCTACTTCTCAGCTGAATAATTACCCCAGTTAAAAACGTTCCTGATGAGTTTATGGTCTCAGTCGCATAAGTTTCAAGTCTTCTTCAATACATAATGATGTTCATTTAGTAAATTATGGTCCCATTTGTTTTAAAAAGGACCAGAGAGTATACTTTAGGGCGGGATTATCTATGATTGACAAGTCATTACCATGGCGACCTGTCAATCAGGCTAGAGTGACTCGTACCCATGGCACTGTAAATTCACCAACCCCGTTGAAAAATCTTATTAGGAGTTGGCTGTTCACTTTCTCTGCTGAGTACATTTAGTTTTAAGCCTGTTGTTCAATAGACAAAGTTATCAGAGTTATCATCATTATTTATATTTTTGTTTAATTTGATACTAATTGTTATGTCTTATTGGTGTACTGTAATCGTTCTGCCCTTTGTCCATAGTCATCGGTGAAATTAAGTACACGGTACATGATCACATATGGCTGTCAGGCCACATCCAGACTGACAGACTGAACCAAGTGGAAAGTATGGGGGGGTTGTGACTGACTGATGAAAGCTTGGTTTATATACTTCCTCTCAGAGTAGGATGGGGAATGACCTTAGGCAAAAATCACAAATGAATCGTGTATTTACCAGTTGGCACCAACATTTCAGATTTTTGTACTCCAGAAACAAAGAAAAGAAACACCCTTTGTACTATTTATTAATGCTCTATATGTTTATTCCATCATTTACACCATCAGAAAAGCCCTGCACACCTACTCTGGTGAAACAAGAAAGCAGCACCTTTTCATTTGACTCTGAATTTAAAATGCACAATGAAAACTAAACTAAAAGACGAGGACTAGCCTCGACCTGATGCTTACACACTGCAGAGCACACAATTGACCAGAAAAACAAACACTTCTTAGAAAGATGGAGCTACACTGAGGATCACATCCTGGACCACATGTGTCATTGGACGCATCCGACTCAGCTTCAAAGCTTAATCCTGCAGGGATAATTCAGTTTCCATGTTTGAGTGTTTAGAAAATCATTTGACCTTCATCTGCAGACTCTTGACTCAAGTATTGTCCTCTGCTGTGCGTTAAAAAGGATCATGTCACTCAGCCAAGACACAGTGAAGGGCCTGATCAGGACCAATGATACGGGTCAGAAGACTTTAATAGCAGGGAACCTGTGCACAGCTGGCAGACAGAGGATATGAATCATCACACCGCAGACAATCCCCACAGTGCTGCTAATCAATTTTAAATGGAAAGTAGTTAAAGCCTGCTTGAGAAGTCGAGGATATAGACGCTGAACATCACTCTTCACTCACACCTTCTTCTTGTACCTGTGGACATCTATCTGGACTCTGAGACTACCAGCTGCAGAGCGGCCTGGCCCTGGTCAGTCGGTCCAGACTGAAATATCTCGACTTGGATGACACATATTATTAGTCCCCAGACAATGAATCCTACTGACTTTGGTGATCCACAGATTTTTCATTACTGACTTGGTTTTGGGTGAAATGTCTTGATAACAGACCTGCTGATGGCACTACCAGATTAAAAATCAGGGCATCAACAAAGTTATTTGGAATCATGTGGCGGGGACCACGAATGTCTCTAAGTGACACTGCAACACATCCAATATTCGAGACACTTTAGTCCCCAGTGTAGGACCGACTGACATGCCTACATTTTCTTTCTTGGAGCCACGCTGCTGGTGTGGCTGAAACTGCTCAGTTATGTTTATCGTATGACATATGAAGGGAAGTAGCATGCCAAAGAAGGAAAAAATCTGCTGAGACAAGAACTCAAGAGAAGTACACAGAGGTGTGAAATAGCAGCACCAGCAGGCTCCTTACCTCTGCAGACTGTACCGTTCTCCACCGCCTCGTACCCAGCTTTGCACATGCAGCGCCCAATGGGTACCATCCACTCCCCATCCCCGTTACAGTACAGCTTGATGGGTACATCCACCTCCTCCCCATTAGGAACACACACCCCTCTGGCCGCAACCAGGGAAGTGCTCTCTGCTCCGGAGAGAGTCTCAGGGAAGACAGCGCCATTCTGGACCACAGTGGGACATTTCCTGTAGAAGACTCGAACAGCGATGAGCGACATGCAAGCGCCATAATCCTGGAAAGCGAGGTAGAAGCCATTTCGGGAAACGGGTCCAAAACTGCGGACTTCACTGTTGATCTTCATGATGCGGCCTCCGAGATCAACCTGAGAGAAACTCTCGTCGGCCGCTATGGTGTCCACTTTCACCCAGGGGTTCTCCATCCAGGGTGGGGAGGATTTTGTGACTGTGTCCGAGTCCGACTCATAGTAGTACAGGTTGAAAGTCTCCTTGCAGGAGCCAGGGACATTGGGTATGGAGCTGCAGTCGCGCACTGAGAACTTCATCTGAACATGGATGCGCTGAGCACCGCGGCGGCGGATGAATTTGGTGCGTACCCAGTTGTTCTGGCTGCTGTCGAAGACATTGCACACCTGATACGTTCGGATGGTGTTCATGTTTTCATCATAGCCACTAACTTCTTCCCACTAGAAGACAGACAACACACAACATCAATGATACAGTGACACATAACAAATGTACAAAAACTACAAATACTTCCTGACAGTAACAGAAACAACTAAACAGGTTGTCACTGACAGATTGTCAAAACTACCAATATGATCACTATGTGCTGAGGTTACAGAGCAACGTCAGCTGACCTCCAATGGTTTAACTTCCCTCCTTCACTCTAGGGCAGTGCTTTGCAGATCAGAAACTAACGAACGTGACTGTCACTCGTGCGCACTGTGTTTTATGGCACCTGCATGCCGGACAGGTGTTGTGACCCATTAGATTATGTATCTAATCCTACTGGCAGGAAATTAGACACAAAAAAAAAGAATAACGATCACAAGAAATCATGAACAGCGAAGAAACACCCAAATCCAAATGAAATGAACTCATGTTTGGGACTGTGAACTTTTTAATCCGTATTCAGGTGCACCAAAGAACACAACCAGAATACCCAGAGCTGGTTACATTTAGGCGCAGAAAAGCATTTGTTAAATGGAAAAAATTGTTTATGGTTGAATTAAATGTTGTGTATAATGTTGGCTTTTGGGAGGAGACAGGATGTAACACCCACCTTTGCTTGCCAGGAAGACGTAACGTTGGTAATTTTAAGATCCAGTGCTGCCATATTTCATGAGGACAGGGCCTTTAAGGCCAGAGGATGTTTGAGATGCTCTGAGTCAAGGTACACATAGAGGAAGTTGCCTTATATCTTATGTATACAGGCCATATCTTAACATGGATTATTTATGTTTCTACTGTATAAATTATAATATATGGAGTACATAGAGATCTTGCACACTTATATTTTTTAAAAAGGCATGTGTGGATTTTCAGATGCGAGCTGGAAACTCATTAGGTTTTACTTAAAGACGAAGAAATGGAATCAGGTTGGAGGCAAGAGACAGTGTTCTACAACATTCGTATATTGGCTGTATGTTTTACAGTGTCTTGGTTTGTTCTGCTCACCCCTTGTGACGGATGGATGGTCCAGCCCAGTTCTGCTGTAGCTGTTGTTGAATCCATTAGTACTTCTGCAGAAGACAAAAATTTAAATGGCAGAGTTAGAAAAACAGGGCTGCGCAGGCAAATCATTTTTAAAATTTCAGTAATGAATTTATAAGATTGCATTGAAACAAATCAACAGAATAAATGTATAGAAATAGTGTGTAAATCTTTACAGGAAGTTAAGAGCTGTTGTTGGTTTATGCTGTCATTATGTCACTCTGAGGCCATAACCAATCTATAAAGAGCTCATAAGAATCCTGAAATTTTATAATGAAATGAAACACATACAGTCTATAAAATTGTCCTTAGGTGTGGATGTGAGTGTAAGTGGTTGTCTGTCTATGTGTGGCCCTGCGATGGACTGGCGACCTGTCCAGGGTGGGGCGAAAGGCAGTGGCTGGGATGTCAGCTGGGATAGGCTCCAGACCCCCGCGACCCTGTACGCAGGATAAGCGGTTGGCGATGGATGGATGGATGAAACACATACAATAAAATCACAGTTTGCATTTACTTACAAAGTTATTATCTGACTTAGTGACACAGTGTTCAAGCTGCGATCCAAACTATTTCTGTGCTAGTAATATATTTATATGGGGGCGGGGGCGTCGGTGTTCAACAGGTTAATTCAAAGCTGAACAACCTCACAGAAGTGAAAGTAACCAGTGTGCCTTTCTGGAGTTTTGTCTACATTTTAATTAGCCTCGCTTGTCTTTAAAGTTGTTCACATCAACAATGAAGCTTAAACAATTGTTCTGTTTCTCTTGTATTGTAATGTATTAAACTGATGCTCTGCCTGAAACAAAGAACAAATGACTTGCCTCTGGGAGACAGGCTATAAATTTAATAAAGTAATTCATGCCGTCATCTAGTAACTCAATTAATCACCAGATGAGATGTGTCATGAACAATTCATTATAATTAATGAGTAATTAATCAAAGCTGCAGTCCTGGTATTCTCCTGTGTGTAGCTACATGTGTGCAGCGAGAAAGAGTCATGGCAGATTAAATGATGGATCAATAACAGTGATGCAGTCCCAGATCCAGGACGAGCTATCTGACTGTTCATGAGTATAGTCTCAAATAAATCGTGTTTAGTAAGTTTTATGTTTTCAGGACTTCACGACATCAGAACTGTGAAGAAACACATTGATTTCAGATCGATGGCACAGTTCCTGGTTGCTGACTTTATAACGTGAACAATGTGGTCCTGCAGTTTACCCCAGTTGTCTAAACTCATGAATCTGTTACTCAACAGATTCATGAGTTTAGAAAACTAATTGTATTCTGAGCACCAACTAAATACCACAACACCCTAACAGTCCCTCTGCTCTCTCTGTCACGACACCCATAAGCATCTGATCCATGATCTCGCACCCACCCCCCACCATGGAGCGGGGAAACCACGCTGATGGGACTCCAACCCATGTTCAATTATTCAGATCATCTTGAGAGTCTGCTGCTGAGTAAAGCTCCTTCTTCAGCGGCTGTGAGGGAGATGATGCTGTGGATTTAAATCACAGCTCCTCGCTACTCACCGCCACGCTCCCAACTCTCATTACAAAAGATAATAATCAGACTTTTATGTGTGTTATTGTTTGATTCTGGTGCTTTTATTGTCTGCCTATGTTATTCCCTCCTCATACACACCACTGAACACACTCACACACACTTTCAGTGAGACTTTGCATAAAAGCAGCCATTAGCCTACAAACAGAGCAGAAGGAATCTTCAAACACTGCTTTCACCCTCAACTTTCTTCTTCAGCACAGGACAGACTGAAGAACTACAGCGTTCACTGGATCTCTGCCATGTGAAATTATTCTAATTGTGCACCTGGAGAGCTGAAAATATTAGTCAATAAATCAACTAGCTGATCAAGTATTTTGATAATAAATTAATTGTTTCAGTCATTCTTCAGGTGCAGTAACCCAAACGTTCTCTGGTTCCAGCTCCCTCAGTGAGAGAATCTGTAGATAAATCCATATTCAAAAGATGGTTGCAGCCCTTAAAGTTTAAACATTTGCAGACTAAACCAAACCTGGTTAAAGAGGCATTCCAAATGGCAGTAGTGTGGATGGGGCCTGAGACATGGCTGTGGGATAAGGATTCGGGGTGCCCATTAGCTTACAGGCAAATCTAAAGGTGGTGGTGGTGGTGGGGGGTGCCTTTATGTTAATGAAGTTGGTGTAAATCAGCTGAAACTGCTTTCAGTTTCTTTATGTCCAAAGAGCAAGTGACAGAAACGCATGTGAACTTATCCCCTGATGCCCTGAACATCATTCTGGTGATATGAATCATTGCACATTGACAACACATCAGTAAGATACCTGTCCAACTAGACACGATAAGTCTGGGTCTATGTTAACTTTAAAGGACACAGAGACCATTTTACACACCTTCATCTCATCACGCCTGGATTATTGCAACAGCCTTTTCACCTGTTTAACCCAAAAATCTATTGATCGACTCCAGACTGTCCAGAACTCAGCTGCCAGGCTTTTAACCAGAACAAAGAAATATGACCACATTACTCCTATTTTAGCTTCATTACACTGGCTCCCAGTATGTTTTAGAATTGACTTTAAAATTCTATTGATCACTTTTAAAGCTCTTCATGGCCTCTCGCCTTGTTATATCAGGGCCCCGAGGCTCTGGAACAGCCTGCCCGAGGAAATCAGGTCAGATTCTTTCTGTTGACTTCTCATCAGTACTTAAAACTCTCCAGTCTCATACGCTGGTTACACTTTTGTAACACGTGTTACCTCTGACATAAATACAGTCATTGGAAGATGAAGACGGGGTTTTTGGATTAAAGACCAGCAGACTACGATCCACCTGGCCTAAACAACCGGACCAGGTGCCATGCTGGCTGCAGTGATCGCTCAGAGGAGAGGAAAAAGAGCCAGGAGAGGAGCCATGCTGGCCCAGCTTGGATTTAAGAGATCTGGTCTGGACAAAATGCGACTCATACTCCCCAGATAACGGAATTCAGAGACTGTTGTGCCCAAATCGTCACAGAGACCTGCCCCATCAACATCCCGGATCAAGCACTCGGCAGGTGGTCCATGTTCCGAGCTGTGAGCGCATGAATCCGGCAAGATGGGAGGAGGTGGACTCTGTGTTTTACATCGATGATGCTTGGTGCTCAAACGTAGTCAAGATGGACTCTAAAATGTCAGACTGTGAAGATGAAACTTTCATGTTCACCTGGTTGCTGCTGTTTACTTTCACCCCAGATGCGTGTGGAATGTTTGGGGGTTAGGGTTATACGTTTATGTATATAAATAACTGTATATATTGTTTTATTTTATTTTACATGTTACCATATTTTAATATAGGCCTACACTTAATATGTTGTGTGTGTAGCATCAAGGAACTACAAGATTCATTTCATGACTAATTAGAGGATGGATTAATCGTAAGAATATGGGACAAAAGTTATTATAGCTTAGAAACAATTAATGATAGAGAGACACAGAATGTTTTATTTTACCCAATCAGAGGAAGGTAATGTGATGATTTCTAGCCAATGAAAACGACTCTGTAGTATTCTGCACCCTGAGTTAGGAGGCCGAGACAGAAATATATGGCCTGCCATTTTATGGGCAGCTGTGAATCAGAAGGTTGGTGGTTCAATTCTGGCTCCCCCAAGCTGCGTGTAGAACTGTCCTTGGGCAAAATACTGAACCCTGAATTGCCTCTGGTGGCTGTTCTGCCAGTGTGTGAATGTTAGTTTCTGTTTGAGCACTTAGGCTCGGTGTATAAATGTGTGTGAATGGTGAATGCAGATGTAGTGTAAAAGTGCTTTGAGTGGTCGAAAAGACTAGAAAGGCGCTATACAAGTACGGAGCATTTACATTTATCTCAATGGACTGTGACAGATGTGGAGGAGTGATTGACTTACCATTACGTAATGGCAAAGAGGAACAGTTTTCACAGCAGAAGCATTTATATACAGTCTATGTGAAGTTTCAATAAGAAGTTTGGAATGCGACGGAAGCTAACACTACACGCAGCCGCAAGCTATTTTACCGAGGAAACAACACAACAGGATCAGCGATCCCTTTGACACAGGTATGTAACTCAAATACCATCTTTATCATAAAATAATGTAATAGAATGCGATCGTGATGGTTTATTGCCAGTTGTTTTGGATGTATGTGTGTGGATGGGATGATTTGGTGAGAAACACGTCGTAAAGGTTATCTATAATGTACACGCTGTCCATGAGGCTGCCTTATTTCATTGTTCTAGGCACATTTTGTTGAAAACCTGCATATGGATGTTACACAAAGGGTTGGATAAACATGTTTTGAGTTCCGAAGCTGTTCAGTAATGATGTATAAGGTGTGATTTTCATTAATAAATCACAAAAATCTAATTTTCGTTCACAAAATTCTCTAGTTTATTGTGCATTTTCACGCCAAGCAAATGCACTTGTAGCCATCTGTACACCCATGAGAGTGTTGGTCTGAAAATGGGGTGTGATCAGGTGTATTGTTGGCACATCTTGAGGCAGCAGAAAGCAACTGCAACTCGACTGTAATCTCCCGACACGCCGACAGGAGTTCTACACCTCCAAAAGGTCTCACACACAGTCCAGGTTCATACAGTGAAACTGTTTGGAGTGAAGCAGCCGTCCTCCTGATCAGTCCTGAGCTCCATCAGAGGTCTAAAGTATTTTACTGCACACATGGAAACGTTTAAAATGACTGACAGCAGCCTCTCTAATCATGAAAGGAAATTATTAAAGACACATACATCAATAAAACACAAATAAAGAAACCAGTGGAAGAGAGAGAGATGTGACCCAGTCTGCTTCACTGATATGAAGCCACAGAGCTGCAGAGGAACATCAGGCTTCATGATCAGTTTTTATATATTAATATTTATATATAATTTATATATTAAGTCCACACTTCTGTCCATATCCCCCCTCTGCTGTCAGTCTGCAGTTCAATCAGTCAACTGATCTGATCTATCTCATCCGTCATTATAATAGCAATGCACCAATGTACAATCGCAC